TTGCCTTATTAAGGGCGCCATGAGGGGCTGTTTCATGGCCCGCGCTACGTCTGAGATTCCGGTGTGTTGCTGTGTTCTGCTAGAAACGGCAAGTCTGCAAGTCATGAATCCCCACGCGTCCCACGCTTCACGCGACCGAAGCTCTATCAGCGACTCTTTCAGACGCTTTGCTAATGCCCAGCCGGGCTCGAGACGCCTTTACGGGATCCCCTGCCGCTGGCCAGGCACCATTTCTGGGCAAAGCCGTCTTCGCTTGCCAGGGGCATCGCCATCATCAGCCAACAACGCTTGCCAACACCGCCTGCCAACCGGGCCAACGACTCCATCATGACCGTCACCTTCCCTGTGCCGCAGGACCCCGGCTGCGATCCCGGCTGAAGCCCCTGGGCCAGATCAATGATCCTCCTTCCATGATTTCCATGACGGCTGAGCAACCGGAATCGACCACGACGCTGGAGGCGGCTGGAGCTGGGCGCCACGCCGCAGCCCGGGTGGAACAGTCCATCTCATCTTTGCAAGACCGGTCACCCTTCCAAATCGGAGTACATCCGACGACGTCGATGGTCCCCCGGCCTTGACCGGGTGCCACCCCCCAAAATTCCACCACTCTGGTTTGCATATTGGTGTTTCGGTCTTATGAAGTTTCTTCCATCTCCACCCGTCTCTCCTCCAGAGGCTCCAGGGTGAGCGCGGCTCAGTCGTCGGTGTCTGCGAGTCTATCTTGGCAGCGGCAAAGAGGAAGAGAAAGGTGTCGTGGAAAGGGGTGCCCTTCAGTGTGACCGGTGGGATAAATACAGCGACGACGCCCTCGTTTTTACATCTGCTTTCCTCTCGTTCAGCATCCAACATTGCAAGGTCGCACACACTCTTTGGTTCTTACCACCTTCATTCTTTTCCAATCGTCTAACCGTCAGTTCTTCACTGTGTGAAGCTGGGACATTCTTTTGCAACACTTTACATCCACGAACAAGCTCATTCATTCCACTTCAACCTCCTTTTTCAGGACCCATCCTTCTTTCATCCAAAATGCCTTCCATCAAGAACACCGTCGCCCTTGCTGGCGCTTTCGCCGCTTCCGCTCTTGCCCACGGTACCGTCACCGGCTACGAGATTGATGGCGCCTACGTCCAGGGCTACAAGCTCGACTATTACTACCTCAAGCAGAACGGCGGAACTCCCCCTTCCATCGCCGCCTGGTCCGCTGAGAACCTCGACAACGGCTTCATCGCCCCCGACGCCTACGGCACCGTCGACATCAACTGCCACAAGAACGCCGCTCCCGGTGCCTCCTCCGCCAAGGTCGCTGCCGGCGGCACTGTCGACTTCCAGTGGTCTGCCTGGCCCGAGTCTCACATCGGTCCCGTCCTGACCTACGCCGCCAAGTGCGACGGCGCCTGCACCTCTGCCGACCCCGCCACCCTCAAGTGGGTCAAGATCGATGAGGCCGGTATCGACCTGGACACCCAGGAGTGGGCTGCCACCAAGCTCATCAAGAACAACAACACCTGGACCTCCACCATCCCCTCCGACCTCGCCGCTGGCAACTACGTTCTCCGTCACGAGATCATTGCCATGCACGGTGCTGGCTCTGAGAACGGTGCCCAGAACTACCCCCAGTGCGTCAACGTTGAGATCACTGGCTCTGGCACTTCCAACCCCGAGGGCACCCTCGGCACTGCTCTGTACAAGAGCACCGACGCCGGTATCCTCTTCAACCCCTACAGCACCCTCACCAGCTACGAGATCCCCGGCCCTGCTCTGTTCGGCTCCGGCTCCAGCTCCGGCGGCGGCTCTGCCACCCCCACCACCCCCTCCAACGGCACCGCCTCTGCTGTCCCTACCGCCGCTGCTTCCGCTTCCGCTTCTGCTGCTGCTGATGCCGGCTGCGCCAAGAAGCTCCGCCGTCACGCTCGTGACCTCTTCCACGCCCGCCACTAAGCGGAGAATCGCCGCATTCGCGATCTGATGGAGAAGAAGGAAAACACACATCCAAACTTTTGAATGAGCCTTTGTTCGTTTCTCGACCATGTAAATAGATTATACCCGGTGTATATATCGCTGCAAGCACCCACACCTTTTTTAGCCGACCTCCTAGGCGCCCAGCACACCTTTTTTTGTTGCTGGGTGCTATCAAGCTTTGCAATGTATCAACTGTTCAGTCAATATCTTGTGCCTTGCTTTCGTGAACGTGACCCCGTGAATTGTGACTCTCAACGACGCAATATTCCTGCTTTGTAGTGTCTCTGAGCATAGCCGTATGTGTTTACTCACTCCATAACTGTTTTTTTTTTTTTGACTCGACATTGAGTTGAGTTCGTTCCGTGCTGTTGATCCGGTGGCTGACTCGAACCTGTGAGACGAACTTGACGTGAGGGCGGGCGTCAGAATGCCGATGGCATGGATGTGGTGGGTGGTTGCGGTCGACTTTAAGCACTCTTCCGCTCTCTCTCAAGTCATTGAAGTTGAAAAAGTTTCACGAAATAAGTCTGAGCGGCGAACAGAGTTTTTTGGACGTTGCGCTGAGGAAGGGCGCCCATGTCGGTTGATATACTTGGCGGGCGATGTTATGGAGTGGGGCCCGTCTGAGCAGATTTGAGGTCAAAAGAGCAGTCTAAAACGGAACAAACTGCCGCGGGACGATGGGTGCCGCGTGCGCCCACTTGGTATTCTCCGTGGGATGCCGAGTTATATTGAGCGGGTAAATCGGCCGATGCGAATGGGTTTGATTAACGGATGATGATAGAATTTTTTTGATGAAGCCGAGTGTACGATGGCATCGGGGCTCCAGACATGGGGTTGATGGCCCTGCCGTTTTGTGTATGCGATTTGTTTGTTTCATCAACTGGCGGTTGGGGGCGGTTGCGGATTTGGGCTTCAGTTGCTTCGACAGCAACATGATCACTTGAATCCTTTCACATCGTTGAAGGAACCTCACAGGTTGCAAGATGTTCATGAACTCTCTGGTCATTACAGGGGCGTTGACGCGAATCTGTCGTCGATATTCCCCGCCTTTTTAATGGTCACGAAGCCGACTTTCCGGGCACGTCGGATATCCCACCGGAACCTCATGATCTTCAGCACCACGCGTGGGGCTTCAAGGGATGGGACGGCAAGTGATTTCCACTAGGGTCCGGCGCGCATTGATCGCCAGATTTGATCCACTGATTTTCAACATTTAAAAAGGCACGAAGTCTAAGAACTTAGGGCTGAGGCTTCCGTGAGACGTCTTCTAATGATTGTGAGGCTGTCTCTAAGCTTTTCTGTCCGCAACAGCGAGTCACCTGTCGCTTCTTTGAGTTGACCACGCAGTATACCGCGCTGCTCACTGGATAGAATTGTTTGATGCGGCGATGCGCTCCACCTCGAAGTGTCATGGTCTCGCAGGCCAAGAAGACGATCAGCTCTGTCCAAGAGAGAGGTGATGATTTGGGTAAAGATGATGCCTTGCAGATGTCCATCGCCGATCCAGAAAGCCCCAAACTTGAGACCCTCAATCGGCGTCAGGGGGTCCACGGCGAGTAGTTCAAGTCTTTTGTGGATGTGGAGGGTGATCGACTCAAAGAGGGTGATGATTTGGACGAAGCAGCTCGTGATGACGAGAGCCAAAGGCGGACCTACGGCTTCGGGCCCGGACGTTGCGGTTGACGGACTCATGATGTCCGGCGATGGGAAACTTTCCGACGGAACGATCCAGCCTAGAGCGGTCGGCAGCCCGCCAGAGTTATCCCACGGCAGAGATGGAACAGCGTCTTGGCTTGGCAGGATGGCCAAGTCAACTGCCGCCTGTTTCATTGACTTGGCCAGAGTCGAAAGAACAGTCACGAAGTCTTGGAAAATGACGAGGGCGAGCTCAGCTAGTGTGACGGAATCAACGCTGAGGACGGATTCGGGGTAGATGAAGGAGCATAGATCCATATGCTGCCGGTGGTTATCGACCTTGGACAGGTGAAGGTGGAGGTCGACGTTGACCTTGGACAGCCTAGCGAATGCTTCGTGCTGGATTGTAGCATCCAGCTGTGACTGCGGACGTGCAGCTGTCTCTAGAGAGTCCGTGAAGTGGTCGCCGACGTCAACGGCGAAGTCCGTTTCATCCCATTCAAAGTCGCAAAGAAGGGGGTCAATTTGAACGTCGACACCAACTTCGGCCACCTCCTCTCCAGATCTCGCGGCCACTGGCGGCGTGGTCTCCGCGGTCGCATTTTCATCCAGCAACAAGTCGTCCCCGCGGAGACTCGCAGCCTCATACCCATCTCCATCTCCTTCGTCCTCCTCCTGCGCCGCCTCACGATCGCGGCCTCGGTCTCGGTCATTCGAAACATTGTTTCCCTGATTTTTGGTGCGCGAGGGCCGGCCGATCCGCCGTTGCTGGCCGGCGACACAAGGGAACCCCAGTCGCGCGCACCGCGAACAGCGGGCTTCGTCTTCCGTGTCTTGGCGGGAGCATCGAAGCTTTTGTCGGCGACACCTCTCGCACGCTGACCGTTTTTGGTTCGGATGGCGGGCGATTGTCATATTTTTTTCTTCCTTATGTTATTCCAAGAAAAGAGAAGGTACTTTTCTTTTCTGGGTCAGTGATGAACGTTGTGCACTGTCATCTGTTGCAAGACGCGAACCCCTCGTAAGACGCATTCGGAGGCTTTTCCTCCTTGCTGCTGGGGGCCGTTCGGAGGCTTCTGGTCGTCAGACGGCGGGGTGCTACTTCGGCTCCGAGCCGGATCCGGGGCGTCCACACGTCCGGCCGTGGTTCGTTTGGGTCATCCTCGGAATTTAATACACGAGCGGAGAATACTTGAAAACACGGGCTGTCGCACCGTTCAAAGGTTAACGTGCTCGGCCTCAGCAAACCTTGATGATGGTGTGGGAGAACGGGCGCCGCGGCTGCGCTCCCGGCAGGCCAATCCGGCAAAGGCGACCCCGCATCCGGCTGCTGTCGATAATGCATGGGATATTAGGATATATGGGTTCTTCTGATCTCACCAGGAACACCTCCTCAACAAGAAATGCGCGCTCCGCCACTCAAGTCGATATCTTCCTCCGACGTCGGGTTATTAGACCCGACCGACCCTCCCAACCTATCGCGAACTCCCTCGTCGCTCAGTCTCATGGAGACGGACGAGAAGCGCCAACCCAGCTGGAGCCAGGAACACGAGCCGGAACTTGAGAAATGGAACGGTACTCGGACGAACGCCTTCCGATATGTCGCCACTTTGTATAGCTTCATCGTGATGGGCATGAATGATGGAGCCGTCGGTGTAAGATTCCCTCGCAAACGCTCATCCGAGACCATCGCTGACGATATCACAGGCCTTGCTGCCATATGTGGGCTGAACATCCCATCAAGATACCGTTGAGCTCTGCTGATTCGGTGACAGATTGAGAGCTACTACGACGTTTCATACACGGTCGTTTCTCTCCTTTTCCTAGCACCATTTGTCGGCTACATCATTGCCGCTCTCACGAACAACTTCATCCATCATCAACTGGGCCAGAGAGGCATTGCAATCATCGGGCCAATAGCCCGAACCATTGGTTTCCTCCCCCTGGCCCTACACCCACCGTACCCAGTCCTGCCATTCGCCCTGTTGGTGACAGGATATGGCAATGGCCTCGAGGACAGCGGCTGGAACGCCTGGATCGGCAACATGCAGAACTCGAATGAGCTGCTCGGGTTCCTCCACGGCGCGTACGGGCTCGGTGCGACAGTTGGCCCGCTCATCGCCTCTGCCATGGTTGCCAGGGCCGACCTGGAGTGGTTCAACTTCTACTACGTCATGACAGCCATGACGGCCCTCACCTTCATCCTCACCTCGACTGCATTTTGGAAAGCCACGGGCAAGGTGCACCGTGAGAAACACCCTTCGTCGACGGACGGCGCCAATCACACGTCGACGGTAGCAGTGATTCGTAAACCGATCACATGGCTTCTCGCGTTCTACCTGCTCGCATACGTGGGCATAGAAGTTGCACTGGGCGGCTGGATCGTGACCTTTATGCTGCGCGTGCGGCACGCGGAGCCGTTCCTAGCTGGCATCACCACGGTTCTGTTCTGGCTCGGGCTGACACTCGGTCGGCTGGTGCTGGGCTTTGTCACAGGTCGCGTGGGAGAGAAGCGGGCCATCGCCGTGTACGTCCTCCTGTCTGTCGTCCTGCAGCTGCTGTACTGGCTCGTTCCAAACTTTGTCGCATCGGTCATCTTCGTGATGCTGCTCGGTTTCTTCCTCGGGCCGCTGTTCCCAGCAGCCATCGTCGCGGCCGCGAAGCTACTGCCGAGGGACAACCATGTCAGCGTCATTGGGTTTGCTGCAGCATTCGGCGGGGCTGGCGGTGCCATCATCCCGTTCGGCATCGGAGCCATCGCGAATAGCAGAGGAGTTTGGGTGCTTCAGCCCATCGCGTTGTCGGTGCTGGTTGTCCTCTTTCTCTTATGGCTGTGTTTTCCGGGCGGTTACCGGAAGGGCGGGTTAGAAGAGGCGAGGAGAAATCGGGAACCCATTGGGAACGATTTTCGGGCTGCTGTGCGTTGGGTTAAGAATCTTGCATCATGAGAAACGCATAGCATACCGTCCTTTCGTTGCCCTCTTTTCTAATAGAACATCATCGCGGATGAAGCCTGTCGGTCCCATGCGATGCAGTCTACGCTATGAAATGTGGCAGGTCCATGGCATAAGCATTGAAAACCAAGAACTTGCATAACTTGCATGCTGATGACGAGCGTTGGTGAGATGGGATATCGGTGAGGGAGACGGTGGGATGCAAAGGCGAGGTGTGAGGCAGGAAGGTTCTCGGTGGGAGTTCCCATATTCACCAACGAGGCAGGCAAAGCGAGGCAGAGGCAGGTACGGACCTTACCCACCGTCTGAGTTGTTCCTGCCTAATAAACCACACGTGGCGTGGCGGGTTCGCATTCACTTTGGGCAGTGACAGCTCATTCGGGTTCCCGCTTTCCCTTTCCACTCGAGCCGGACTTCTTCCAGAACCGAGACGCACCTTCCCGTCCACAACGCCGGGTCGAGGTTCACAAGGTGCCCTGCTGTTGACCTCGCACCTTCCACTGTCCTTTCTGTGCCGCTCACCTCCTTGCGGTTCTTTCCCACGCAGTCATTGAAGCAACCCCAAAGCAGAGTCATTCACCGAGGTCGAGGCCGAGACCTGCATCACTGACGTTCGCTTTCCGGCCCGGCTCCCGACTACATCTTCCACGTCTGCCAACACATTTATTGTATCGCTCCATAAAGCCTTTCGCTGACTACCCAAAAGATCAACCGAGTCACGGAATCGTCCAGCATGGCATTCGCCCTCAAGTTCGACATTCCGCTTTCTGTCCGCTCGTTCGCCCCATTTCCCAAACTGCCCACCGAGATTCGACAGCAAATTTGGGAGGATGCCATCTTTGAGCCTGGAATGCAATACCTCCGCATCGATACAAAAGCCCGCTCTTTTGTATCCCACGGGTCCGTAGCCCTTGGCCCCCCGGACAGCGATGACGAGGATGACGACGTTCTACCTGACTTTTCCCAGGAGAGACGCCATGGTCCCCTCGTACCAGCAACGCTGAAGCCTCGGTTCGCGGCGCCTCGAGCCAACCTGTCCAACCACGTCTCCGTCAACCAAATCATGGCCACCCTTTCTGTCACCTGCTCTGAGGCAAGGTCCGTGGTTCAGCGTTTGGCCAGCCATCCAAGAACTCTGAAGCTTGATGACGGCCGTGTGGTATCTCTGGGTGCCGCAGACGATGTCGTCTTGTTGGAATACATTCCGTTGAGGTCAATGGGAGCCGGCTGTCGCTTGGCTCTGAATATCAGCTGCGACCAGCTCGCCAACATTCGTCGAGTCGCCGTCCAGTACTGTCCCCAGTGGGAAGGTGCGACATCAGGCTACTACTGTCGACAATGCGGAGAGCATCACTTTGGCAGCCGCAAGAGAACGTATCCTCTTCACCTATACGAATTTCTGGCTCGACACCTTCCAAATCTCGAGGCTTTCTACTTTGTTGACTACATGATCCTCCGCAAACCTCAACCGGAGGACGATGACGACTTCGACATCCCCATGGCCGACATTCCCCTGGCTGATTGCGACGGCCCTCAACCGGCCCCGTGCGAGGGTGCCAGCAAAGGTAAGGAAGCCTACCAGGTTATCTGAGGCGACTTGCTGACGATTCTGTCTTTGTAGGCACAGGCAGATTGAAGGCTGATGATGAGGGGTCGCCTCGGAGGTACAAGAGCGCGCGCCACCTTTTTGAGGAAGTGGACGAGGATGAATGGGTTGTCAGGGGTAAGGTTCTCGATACTCTGTCCTGGGTCCGTAAGAGATTCAACCAGTACGCCGCACAAAGCAAGTTCAGCAAGCACAAACATCCTAGCAAGGTCCGCTTCGGTGTCTTAGCTTGTGAATGGATCAAGAACAAGGAGGAAAAATTGGTCTATTCGACCACACGAACGGCGCAGAACAAAAGACGAAAGATATCGGAGCCGACCGAAGCGAGCCGCAGTCGACCGCCCCGAGGGACTCTCTCGACACACCACACAGGAGGGCGACTGCTTGCAGCGAACTTGCCTGTGCCCCTTCCTGTGCCTATGCCCACGCAAGCAAGCTTCGTGTTCGGACAGATGACGGATTTTGATTTCAGTTTCGGTATTCATCCTCAATAGCCTGTGGGAAGTGCTGGACGAATAAGACGTGGCCACGACGGCGGGCGCGCTTTGAGGAGGAGCCGAGTGGAGGTAGCTTCTCCTTATTGCCCTACAGTACAAAATACATGATGGACCATCGATATTGATGGCATTCCCGACCTCCTAGATACCAACTCAGTAGTAATGATAATACATGATGAGCGCTTGGATCTCAGGACGCATACTGCAGTGGTGTGACCAAGACAGCGTGTCGCCGCAAAACAGACAGCTGTGATGTAAGGGGCTGTAGCCATGCAAAAGGTATTCTACCGACCCTTGCAAATGTTTTTGCTTTGCTGACAGGCTCGAGGCAGATCTAGACCCCGACCTCTGGAGCCAAAGACGTGTGTACATACACACATACTTAGTACATACACCCGCGCATCAGCAGTCTCCCATCCGCCTAGAGGTGCGGGGCAGTGCAAAGCCGGTGGCAGCGGATGATTTCCGTGACGTCATCAGCTGAAAGACACTGGTTGCATCATAGTCTCCAGAATCATCACTCGTCGTTTGGTTGCCTTGCGATGCAGAACAGGCTGCGACAAAACTCCATGGGAAAGGGAAGTCATACGACAAAAAGTGAATGGAATGCACATCTCGGACAACTGGGGGACTTATAGACCGGCCTAGATTGCGCTGTTCGGTCGATCCCAGGGCTTGCCGGCGAGGCATCCGACAGGATTGGGATTGGCGCCCTCTGCCCTGATTTTGAAAGCAGATTTCGGGGTGCCATGCGCCCGCTAAGCACCCCTGCACACCCCCAAATGCTCTTGTCAGGGTCCATCCACGAGGGAGCCGGATGGCAGATTGGCGACTTTTGATCATGGGAATTTTGCCAATTCCCGATTTCTCGAGTGCGCGATTTTGGAAGACGAACTGGATGGCTGATCCCTTTCTGGAATAGGCATCGTGTCAGGAGTCCAATTCCACGATCCAATACACGGCGCTGGCAACATCTCCCCAGCTGCAGCAACATCACCGTCGCAAACCCCTAGGACTTAGCATAGAGCTACGAATACTCTCATGGCCAAGAGAAGCAACACTCAATTGAAGATAATCGAGCAGCATACGTCATTGCTCAAAAAGCCGTATGCTCCATGAATTCATCGGACCCGAAGGCGCAAGGCAGTGAGATCAACCATCAACAGCCAAGGGGGCTGACGCCCAGGGTCCAGCCCGCAGTCTCGACCCTTTTTCTCCAGGGCCCTTCCTATTCTGACCACCTTTTGGTTGCCTTACTGCTTCGTCGCGACACACCGAAGTCCTGCTCTTGCCGGACACAGCTCCGGGTTTAATTGAGAGATCTCCGTGACGTCAGTGTTCCCATTCTGTACGTTGCTTGGCGATTGCGAGAGGAAGGCCTGGACGGGTCTTTTTACATATTGCAAGCCGGATACCGCTGCGGCGTGGTGTCTCACCTGCAGCGAGCCGGAGCTTGGTCCGCAGACACGCCGTTATGGTCCCTTCATTAGGACGTGATCGCAAGGAGCCGAGTCAGCTGTTGCAGTAACACTGCAGACAGTTCATGGCATTCTCAGATTCCCTACCCCAGACAACCAAAATCGAAAAGTCCAGACCACAGGGGAGGGTGTAGATCTCTGTGAGATTTCCGGAGTTGTAGGGGCGGGTGACTGCTGAATCCACGCTGTCGACGCCTTGCAGACCCACTGACAGTGCCGTGAAGCGAGTTCCTGTCGTCTAGAATAGGTCGCGGCCCGTTCAACGGCTACTCGAAGTGGAAGATTGCCTTGCCCGAGATCGTTGACATAGAGCCCGGCGCAACGGCCGCGACGGCCTAGAACACGGCATCACGTCACTGGCTGGGAAAGCCACGATGTTCATCGCCCACGCCAACTCTGGTGGTGGTTGTCGTTGACAGAAGGCGTGCCTGTAGCGTAAGGCTCCCTCCACGTCCTCGGGTTTGGCTTTCTGCCCACCATGAACAGCAGGTCCATCTATCCCTCCCTCGTCAGGGTGCGGTGACGAGCTTTAAATATGCCAACCCGTCCTCTTTGGCTCGATCGTCGCGAACCATGTAGTTCACGCTCATCGTGCATCTTCATCAGCTAGAATCGCCAACGCCCTCGACATCACGGTGCTTGATCCTCCCTTGTTTCCCCTCCAGCTCGGTGCACAACAACCGGAAAGTATTGGACCGGAAGACCCACTGTTCCCGGGGCCCACTGATTGGATGCCACCGGCACCGCCCAGGCGAACCACTGCTCCCCCCAGCCCCTACCCGGAGCAGGGGATTAAGCCATCAGCATGCCCACCTCGTCAACAGCTGCAGTCTGCGGCTTCAATCAAAGGTTTGTAGATCGCCACCTGTGGACAGTGCGAGCTTCGAGAGCGATTAGCTGACACCTTCCCCACAGGTCCGTTGAAGAAAAGTCAACAACCCCGCCGCTCACTCCGACACTGCCGGAGGAACGCCCCGCAATTCCCGTCAGGTCGGACCCGGGATACTGCATCGGTCGGTTCTTGGGCTCCCAGCAGCATGCAAGTCCACCGCTTTCCCAAATGGCAACATCACCCAAAACAACAGACGACGCCGAAAAAGCCGGTCGCGTTCGCATGGCGGGTATCCTGGCAGAAATTGGATTTCCAGTGTCGGATTGACAGATAATGAGGCGAAAGATGGTGCGCATCCAAGGGAAGACCATACGTCTGCATCTGCACGTGGTCTTGATTGCTTACCATAGAAATACATCACATAATTTGGCAAACCTTCCGCAGTGCGCATGATGTGCTGCAGCATTTGCCCCGTTCTTCGCAAAAGGCGAGCTTGTGACGTCAATATGCTTCCCTGCGTGAGGCGCTGCTCGAGAGGCGAGAGGCGAGACTGGATGAGTCTTGGTCAGCAGCGGCGACGAAGCCTTGCCTTTGCATATCGGTCTTGGCCCCCTGGGAGTGATGTAGGAGAGGAGAGAAGAAGATCTTAGCGTGATGCGCACCTCAACGAAGACACTGAGTGTCTGCCGTCATATTCATAGGACGACGTACGCGAATCGCTTTCAGCAGAACGGCCTGACTTGATCATGTGCAGAACAGCATGAGCAGAAGATGGCAAAGAATTTTTCAGTTACACGGCACCCAGCCCCATCAAAACCCGGAGGCAAATCACCGGACCTCTCCTCCTACGCTCCGGAAATACGCCGTGCACTACAAATTCGCAATGACATTCTTCTTGGGGAACCGGTAATAGGCATGTGATGCTCAAACTGCAGAAGCAGCAGCACGGGCTGCCCTGACATGTTTCGACGCCGTGCAATCTCGGCGCGCAGACCGAGCCACACTTTCCTCCTCCTCGTTCCCCTGGCAGGATTTGCCGCTAGAGGTTGGCCTCCCGGAGACGGTTGGTTTTGGGCACGGGCCGCTAGTTCGCGCGTTTTCTTTCGACACGAGAGAAGACGATCTTATCGCTGTCGGATGCGAGGAGTTCCTGCAGAAAGTGCGTCAAGACCTGTTTTTTCTTGGCACTCTGGAGGTTTGGCCGGATGTTTCCTTGTCTTCATCCCTAGTCTTGTGGCCCTGAAATGCACATGGTGCATGGTCCAACTCTGAGCGCGCCGAGCTCTTTCTGCTGCTGCTGCTGCTGCTGCTGCTGCTGTTCTGTTTCTGCAACCACGTTGGTGAGGCACCACAGCGAACAGGAAAACAGCTCGCTTTCTCATACCGCAAACGAGAGGCCCGAGAAACACACTTCTCGGCTTAACACACCCTTGTCGCCCCTCTCTGGTTCAAACCGTCAAACGCGGGGTACAGCTTGCAGAGACACAATGCTTGGATTTCGGTTGATGTTTTGTGCTGCACAACGTCGTCCTGCATAACCTCCTGTTTGGGGCTTTTAACCGTCACGAACATGCACATCATGACATGCTCAGCCACAGCTTGCGAAGCATCTGCAGATATTGATGCGGACGCAGGGTTTTGATCGCCTGGCAGGCTTCACTGCAAGGCGGAAGAACCAGGCGCGTGGAAATGGATGTCGACCCCTTGCATCGTTGTCCGCAATCCTAGTCGCGAGAGTTGAGATGGCTGGAAGCTTGGGGCAGAAGGGATTTACCCGTCGACAAGGTACGTGATGGTTGGACCTTGGACGAACTCGCTATCAATGCCGTTAATGCATGCCTGCCCCTGGCCCCAGCTTTCAAATATCTTTGTACTCACGGCATAAACCCGTCTTTCGGAGACTGCAACTTTGCCCATGTGTCCGATGGGAACGCGATGGCGGGATCCAAACAACATTAAGAGGTCTTCAGCCAAGAAGCTGCTCGGTCTCTTGATAACCGAGGTGGACGGACGAGAGAACTAGATCCCGGTCAGGATCTTGGCTGGTCGAATTATCACAGCTAAATCGAGGTCTTGACAAATTGGTGGCGCCGGGCTAGAACTTGAATCGAAGCTTCTTGGGGGTTGGTCCATTAAGAGTGGCGTTCACTACGGACGCTACTAATTAAGAGTTGCCTAGGCAATCATCCGCCTTGTTTCTCCGTGGCCAAGACTTAGTCTTAGTCTCAGCGGGAAGCTTGGAGAACACGAGAAGTCCCAACTCTCATTCTGCGATCATGATTCAACAAAGAGATATGATGATTACTCAGTCAAAGGACGCAGTTCCTATGGCCTTGCGGCTTAGCGGTGACTCACGAGTCTGTCTCCGGACAGGTGTTGCCACAATTCGCAATGTCAAGTGAGTAATTGAGCCACACTGAAATGCTTCACAGCACAGACTGTTGTTGTTTCCTAGGGCCATTCGAGGCTCGGGCTAGCTCGGGACAGTTAGTCGTCTTGAATCATGCTACACCTCAACGGGTGCCACAGATCTGGAGAAAGCTCTTGAATCACCAAATCAGCAACGGTAAGCCGGCAACTCGGTGTGACACAGGTCATGGAGTAATCAATATCTGCGTGGCACAGAATCACATTCAACGGATGAATTGGGGAAATGCAGTGCAGCTTTCAGAAGAGAGTAGACCGCAATATGGTCCTCGCGCGCACGGCCCGGTGCTACGGCGGCATGTGAAACTCGACAGCGGCTTACTACGGGGAGATCGTCGGGACAATGGGGAGGCTTGAGAGTCGCAGTGCGGATGTCCAGACTGAACCTGGTGGTTGGGACTAAGGCGAGCTGGGGAGGGAGGAGGGAAGGGGGCAAGTGGACGGCCTATAGTCAGCGCCATGCGCATCTGAGGCTCTGAGCTTAGCAGGGTAATGCCGAGGGCGGGCGGTGGTCCAAACCTCGCTCCTACAACAGACCGAAGCCCCGGAGAGAGAAAGAGAGAGCGGCCCTGGAGAGAGTTGAGCGCTGGCAGCTGTCCCTCGTCATTTCCCGCAACCTTGTAGCGATAAAGTATGCTCTAGGGGCAGGATGCGGAACTAGACGTGGCCAAGGCCACCCACGTACTCCGTGCCTGTTGGTCGGATACTTTCTCCAGGGTAACGGAGCATTGCTCAACCCTTGAATTATTTTGATCCCTTTTTACCATGGAGGATTTCAACATGGACCTCAGACGGTTGCCCTCAAGGTGAAGACCAAACAATCAGTCCCAGCACCATGCAGTGGTAGGCCTCTGGACGAGCAGGACAGGCCTGGGATCAGGGCAATGCGCCGCAGAATCTCTTCTGCTAAACCACGCCGTGCGTTGATTGTTCCTCTCCCTGCGTGGTACCTTGCTCTCCCAGAAATGGCTGGCGAGGACCCTCAAGTTCCTTAGCTTGGAGGACTCAAGATAGACTACCGGGCCACGCTAACAACAAGGTTTGAGCAATGGCACTAGTCCATGTCGGTTCACGTGGAGAACAGAGGCGACAGACACGGTTGACAAGCGAGAAAGACGTTTCACGATGCTATGCTTCGACAAGACGCTGCCTACAGCTGCAGATGCTCTTGGGCCGTCCTGTGCTGCACTGCGCCCTGCGCCTAGAACGCTGCAAAAGGTACTTCTCTGCTCCAGGAACGAGACACTATGCTCCTCTTTTGGCTGAATACTTCGGGTTCCCGATAGCGTCAATGACTTCTCGGTCTGAGGCTTGGACAGCTCGGGGCCTCTGCCATGCAGCTTGGCAATGCCCACCACCACAGCCCTGCCTGTGACCGGAGAACCTCTCCCTGCTTCCTTCCCCCATCAGTGCCACTCTTCGTCTTGTCATGGCACAAGCTGCCGGCTGTTTCGACGCCTAGGGGCCTCCCGTGTGATGCCGAAGCGGATCTCCGGCCCTGCAGTATGGGAAGAGGAGGAGCAGAAGGAGCACCGTTCACGCAAGGCATGAGTTGTTGACACCCAGAACATAAATATCCTATCACGATCCCGTCTCTACCCAACTTTTCTCTCACCTCATCACGCACCATCAGCTTCACTTCGCCTTCGACAGCTAGTCTCTCGCCCTTTACAACTCTTAGCAGCCTCGGCTCATTTCAACGCTCGCTCAGCATTTCCAACTTGTCCAACACCCTTCACCTCAACAACAACCCCCCAACCTTCACAATGCAGGCCAAGATCGTCGCCCTCTCCGCCATTGCCGCGGTCGTCAACGCTGACCTCCGCCTCAACACCAACGACATCCCCTCCGACTGCACTGCCATCTGCCGCCCCATCCGCGACCTTGGCAACATCTGCACTGTCAACTTCATCCCCGGCCAGACCAACAACAACAGCGACCAGCTTCAGGATGAGCTTGACGCCCAGTGTGTCTGCACCAACAGCTCGTTCGATGTTAAGAACCTGGCTGCTCAGTGCTCCTCTTGCATGAACGAGAAGGTTGCCAGCGACCAGCAGCGTAGCCTTGAGGGTGAGTATCCAACAGATCTTTGCAAGCTTGTACACATAGACTGACTCTTTCCACTCCAGGTATCAACTCCATCATGAGCCAGTGCGGCTTCCAGTCCACTTCCTACGCCTCCTCCGCCACCTCTTCCGCCAACACCGTCATTGTCTTGGCCACCCGCCTGACTGCCAGCTCTCAGCTGACCACCACCATCGGCGGCGGTGCCACTCCCGCTCCTACCTCCGAGCGCTCCCGCACCTCCGAGGCTCGCACCACCACCTTCCTCACCTCCAACGGTGGCGGCTTCCCTTCCATCGCCACCTCCACCATCGGTGGTGGCCGCGAGACTGGCTCCCCCAACGCCGCTGCCGGCGTCGTTGCCCCCGGCAGCAACAGCGTCCTCGGCGCTGCTGGCCTTGCCGTTGCTGGCGCCTTCGCCCTTGGCGCCTTCATGCTCTAAACGCCTTGCCTGGCTGGGTCTTTGCCTACAAAGCGGTATACAATACACATATGCATGATTGGATGACTTGTAAAGATAGTGCGCTGCGATACACCGGGTAAAAGTGGAGGATAATGGTAGTTTGATTTAGTCTTATGATGTTACGGTTGTGCTTTGGAGTATTGAGGAAAGTGTCACTCCCTTGGTGGTTGGACCTGGCCTGTGTGGAAATATCTCTGTACTGTTAGGAAAGATTGCTATTGGATAGACGCCTTAATCAAACTGGTTTTGACTTATATAAACATCTTTTTCTTGAGTGATATGTGACTGATATTTTCTCAAGTAATTTACCAAAGTCATCTAGCCTAAGGATTCTTCCTCAAGGATCGTGTAGACTAGTCCTTTCCTCCCACGTGGAGGGCCACGACAACATCTGACCCTACTTCTACATCCTGCTTATGACTGCTGACGTGTGCATCCACCCGTGACAAGTCTACCTTTTGAAATTTTCGCAAAGGAACTTCCATTTCAAACAGCGTATCAATTTCCTCAAGCGTCCGGCCCTTGCACTCCGGGACGCACAAATAGACAAACACCAGGGACAGAAAACCGATACTGCCGAAGATCAGACCGACCTTTGACCCCAGGTTTGCATATGGTGCGTTCAGAAGATATGGCAGCGTAAAGGCGATTGTGAACTGCATTACAATGTTGACAACGCTGGCGGTACGATAAGTGATATCACGAAGACGCATGCTCGGAATCTCGGCAGACAGGACGTGCGAAGTGGGCGCCCATCCCAGGGTGAAGCCAGTGGTCATGACAATCATCATGGCGACGATGGCAGACTTGACGGGAACGCTCGGGTTTTGGGTGAGTCCGAGACCACCCATGGCGAACAGACCGGCCGTCTGAATCGATCCGCCGAAGAAGATGACATTCCTGCGATGTTGGTGTCCGCGTCAGCCAATCGGTCTTGTAACTACCTGGGAGAATCCTTGCGGGGTGCAGCAGATGAGAGCACAAACTTACCTTCGTCCCATCTTGTCCAGCAAGACCATTGCGCACAGGCACATGAAGATGTTGATGATTGATGTAATGATCGTTACGGTGAAGGGGTTGATGAAGCCGAGTTGTTTGACAAAGATGGCGCCGTATACGCTGGCGAAGATGGAGCCTGTTGCCTGCAGGAAGAAGTTGACGCCGATGACGGACATGGTGCGCTTGGTCATTTGCTTCCCATGGAACATGTCCTTGAATTTGCCCTTCTCGACTTCTCTGTCTATTCCGGCACGAATGTGGGCCATCTCAGCGGCAATCTCGTCTTCGGTAAACTTGCCTTCGCGGAGGCGAGTGAGGGCGATGAGGGCTTCTTCGTTTCGACCTTGCATAGCAAGCCATCTGGGAGACTGTAGACGAGTAAGGTCAGCATTCCACCGGCTGCGAGCCTATAAAACGGGGGGAACATACCTCTGGGACGAACCAAATGCCAGCTATCACTATCAGCGGCACTAGATAGAAGAGCCCATATGGGATCAGGTACGCGGCCGACGAGTTCAGACTACCCGTTCCCCGCGCAACAACATTGACGACCAAGCCACCAACCTATACACGTCAGCATTTAGTCCGTCCATTTCTGAGAACGAAGACGTACTGCAAGACTTAGTTGGTATGTCCCGACGACAAAGCCGCGGGCGCACTGAGGTGTGATCTCGGATTGGTAGATGGGTACCACGGCTAGCTCCATTCCGATGTAGATGTATGCCAGGATGCGAGCTGCCAGTATCTGATCTCGGCTCTTGGACGTCATGATGACCGTTGTCGCGATGCAAGACCATACGCTCATGGAGAACATGCACATGCGTCTGCCGAACCGTTTGCTTACGGAGCTTCCGATCAAGATGCCTGTTAACATCCAATGTCAATCTCAGCTTTGCCCCATACAACCGCCAAATTCTCTTACCTATCCCAAAGCCAATGTAGGGCAAGCCTGCAAAGAGGGAGAGCCACCAACTTTCCAGGTAGTACACCTTCTTCTGAGGGTTGTACCACCCAAACTGGCGTTCAAAGGCGTCCATGGCTTGCGTAGAGTTGAAGCCCTGTTGGTCGAAGCCAAAGTTGAATTGAGACACTGCGATCAACATCACCGTGGTGAATAATGACCTGTTGAAGGTTTTTCTCAACTTCAGATGGCCAAACATGATGACTGATTCTGCCGGAGACACTGTTGTTGTTCAGCCCGGCTCAAGTGCCTTGCTCTCCGCGAGGAGTCGACTGAGCCGATTTTATACTGATCATCCCGGAGAGCTGGTATCTTGTAACTTTCCGGGTTGCAATTGCGCCATAACGACTTCGATTGACGATTTGCCGGCCTCCAAGTCGAGAAAGTTGATGCCGGAGAAGTTGTCCCAGCATCAATGTGCGAAGTTGCAACTCGAGATGCCAAGCGAGCTGCCCTCCCGAGTCGTGATGGGTCCGCGCCTCCACTAGTGTCAGGAGGAGGTCTTGAACTAAGCCGAAATCGACATAGCGTCCGTGTCTCAGGGACATTTCTCCCCGTCCTTCCCCGTTGAGACTCCTGGTCAGGAACGGGCAATGCCCGACCTTTGTAGAAGAATGATGATTTACGCTTGCGGCCAGTCAAAGAACACATTCGACTTCTCTATGGAGTGAGACATTCATCTGGGGACATTTCATTGGCAAGTTTGCGAGATTTATACTGGGCAAGAAGACATGGTGTCTTTGATATTTCCAGGGCCCCTGAGACGATGCTGATTGTGTGAATGTTGAAGATGTGAAAGGCTTCTGAGATACCCAAAAGTCAGTGTCGAAAGCATGTCAAGAGCAAACACAAGGATGATACAGCGGGCTACATCACTGGTCCCGATGTTGTTGCAGTTTCCACCCCCGGATCTCGGCGGATCTCGAGTGTGGGGTTGATGCCACCACTTTTCGATCGTCAACGGGGAAGCACGGGGAGATAACTTTCGAATTACCCGCGGATTTGGAACGACCTGCGCAGACTCCATTTCCTTGCAGTTTCAGCCCCTCAAAAATCAGGAAAATAATTTCCAGATGAGAACTAGCAGTCATTGCGTCAGCTTAAAATGTGATTGCGACATGCTGTTCGGATTACAATGTTCTAGTCGCCATTGATCTTGCCATGGTGAGAAGTTCTTGAGCAGCACCACCGCCACTTCCCAGCCCGCCATCTCCTTACTCCAACTCCTGAACTCCCCGCACTTCCAATATGGCAAGCAAACGGCCCAACTTCCTAGTTATCGTAGCCGATGACCTCGGTTTCTCTGATATCAGCCCCTATGGCGGAGAGATCAACACGCCCGTGTTGAAGAAACTATCGAAGGACGGCATTCGCATGACCAACTTTCACACGGCATCAGCATGTTCTCCCACTCGCTCAATGCTGTTCTCCGGAACCGACAATCACATCGCAGGACTTGGTGCGTTCTCAATTAGAGATTTCCCGACAACAAATGACTGACAGTATGCAGGCCAAATGATGGAACACATGCGGCATTTCGGCGACTACTTCAAGGACAAGCCCGGCTATGAGGGGTATCTGAATTGGAGAGTTGCAGCTCTGTCCGAGATTCTCCAGGACAATGGTTATCACACAATTATGTCTGGAAAATGGTTAGTGCGAACAAGCGCCAGTCGGTGCTGAAGACATCTGAATACATACTGATCAATGGCGTAGGCATCTCGGCTTGTCCAAAGAACTAGCCCCATGTAGCCGCGGGTTCACCAAGAGCTTTTCCTTTTTGCCCGGATCTGGGAATCACCACGCGTACGAGCCTCAGCTTGACGATGACGAGTTTAAGATCCCATGTCTCAACACCGAGGGCCACTGGATGGACGGTGACAAGTTCATCAACCACAGAACGGACCTCCCTGAAGACTTTTACTCGACAAGATATTTCACAGATCGCATGATCAAGTTCCTGGAAGAGAGGAACGAAAAAGAGAAAGACGAGCCTTTCTTTGCCTACCTCCCATTCACTGCCCCTCATTGGCCCCTCCAAGCTCCTCGTGAGGTTGTCGAGAAGTATGGTAAGTTGAAGATTAACTTTCCCAGTGAATGGCTGCTAATGATCACAGCTGGAAAGTACGACGATGGACCGGATGCTCTGACCCAACGTCGTCTGCAACGGCTCGTAGAGTTGGGCCTCGTGGACAAGGGTGTTGAGCACGCGCCCCCTACCGGCGTTTTAGGAAAGGATTGGAAGGACTTGTCAGACCTTGAGCGCAAGGAGTCAGCAAGGAAAATGGAAGTCTTTGCTGCGATGGTTGAGCTGATCGATGAGAATATCGGCCGCGTGATTGACCACCTCGAGTCCACTGGCGAACTCGACAACACGTTCGTGCTCTTCATGTCTGATAACGGAGCCGAAGGAGCGGCGCTGGAAGCAATCCCCGTAAGTCATGCGCCATTCCCGCCAACTAGTCTCTCGACCGCTCTGACAATTGTTGCAGATGATGGGCGGAGAAACAACTTTTGCCGGCGTGATTCAAAAGTACTACGACAACAGCCTTGAAAACATCGGGGAGAAATCATCCTTCGCTTGGTACGGTGTGTGACGTGATCCACAGTCAGCATCTTCTTAAAAGTAGGATCTGACGAGAACTTAGGAGCTCGATGGGCTTGCGCAGCGACCGCGCCATCTAGAGGATCCAAGTGCTGGATTACCGAAGGCGGCATTCGATGCCCATGCCTCATCAGATACCCCCCTTTCCAAGCTAAGGAAGAAGCCATCACCCATCGTTTCACGACAGTCATGGACATTCTCCCTACCATCCTAGAAATGGCTCAAGTGCAGCATCCCGGAACCTCGTTCAGGGGCCGCGAAGTCGTCATACCCCGCGGCAAGTCCTGGTTGTCCCACCTGTCCTCCCCAGACTACTCCGCAGCCGACTCGACAGTGCATGGAGAGGATGTTCATGTTCACGGTTGGGAGCTTTTCGGTCTCAGAGCCATTCGCGAGGGCAAGTGGAAGGCAGTCTGGCTCAACAAGCCGAGGGGAAAGGACGATTGGGAGCTATATGACGTCGAGGAGGACCCGGCCGAGATGAACGATGTGTCAGACAAAGAGCCCGAGGTGATGCGCCGGCTTGTCAATCACTGGGAGAGGTACTATGCGGAGACAGGGATGACCCAGACACCAGAGTTCCCCATCACTAAGGCTTAGCACACGGGTGAACATCAGACGACTCAGTTCAGATGACTTCCGGATTGTGGGGTTTACCCCTTCCAGCGTTTTGGTCCATCAAGTTTACGATCAGCGCCGAAGGGAAGGGGGGACTCTCTTCATGGACCATTGAAAGTGGCTCATTTGTGACAGATGTAACATCTTCAAAGAAGGAGTGTTTGAAGTATTCTCGCAGTCTACATTGAATCCAATGACGGCTTGCATCGCTGCACGTTTTCAGATCCATGCCAAGAACTCTGCATTGACCCTCATTATTTGCTTCGGTGAGGCCGTTCTCAAAAGAGCGAAAGAAGCACCGCGTACCCCGTCCTCATTTTGTGACATGGGTCGCCAAGAAAGTCACTTTGATCATGAAGAAATGGCACGATTTGCACTGCGAATTGTTGCGTGGAAGTAATTTTCAATTTGTCGTGGGATATCTTGATGGGGGCCTTGCAATGCTGTCAACTTTGCGACGGTAATCGCTACCGATTCGTTGTTATGAGAAGACCGTCCTAAACGCCTCAACTCCGCTTGAAAAAGATGCCTGGTGATTCCGAGTGCCGCTCGAGAACGACCACTAGCAAACCCATTGCAGGCACGACTCCTCCGGCTTGGCGCAGACGCCGCAGGATGAGTTGCAGCAGGTCGTGCCGATAGGGCAGATGACGCTACCACACGCCTGGGACTCCTCCGACACGGTGCCGTTCGCCTGGCAAGCTACGGGCTTTTCGAGGCGGAAGTCAAAGACTTTGCAGTACGAGTTCTCAGGGCAGGTGACGCCGGAGCAACGGTCCTCCGCCGGGGCGTCGGGGGTGCCGGAGGTTTGCGGAGCCGGGGCGGCAGAAGCGCCGAGGGCAGCGAGAGCGACGATGAAGGAGTGAATGAACATCATGTTGATGGATGGTTGATGTGGGAAACGAATGACTAAAAGACTGACTGGTTGAGTTGGACTTTGGTTTAAAGAGAGTGAATGACCGATTGGAGTTGGGTGGCAAGTATCGACGGCTCTGATCAGTAAGGCGGGAGACCATTGGCCTTTATGGCTCAGAGAGGCCTTCGTAAGGCGCAGAGTTTGGAGCGACTCAGGTCCAGTGCCACTTGGCGGTTTGAGAGTAATTGCTAGGAGACGCCGTTGGCGCGCCCCAATAATATCATCAGGAGGGCCTAACTCTAAAACAACGTGAAAAACGGACTCTCGGACGGCCGTATTACGGCCAGGGAATAGGGAACAGACCTTTTTGATGGGAGTCATGTGTAGTAATCACCGTGCGGCACGTTCGGGCGAAGATGATCAGCGCGACTTGGCACATTTTCGTGGGCGATGATGGTTTTCAATTAGCTTCTAAGCAATTAATAGATTCATGCCTCAGGGGCTCCTTTAGAGTTTGACACTTTTCCCAATTCCCAATTATCTCCCCCGCTAATTATAAGTTCACGTTCCTTAAGCGCCGATCCTATTAGTTCCCATTACTGCGGCCTCCCTTGTTTTCAATCTTTGTGTGGGGTACATCTGCCGGCCAAGCCACCCCCCGTCTCCTATTCCCCGGTGTTCGTCTTGCTTTGTTGAGTAACTTATTGAATGTTTACTGAGGAACTGCAGACAGAATTTCGTCGATCTTTCCCTGGACATCGCCAATAACTCCAGCGGTGGTGCGCTTGCCTGCGGTGAACTTGCCCTTCAACTCAGGGGTTTGGACAGCGGGCAGCTCGATGGTCTTGCTGATGGAAGGGACTTGAATCAGAGTGCTAAGCGGCAGGTCGATCGCGGTGCGGGCAACAACGGGCACCACCAAGGGAACGGTCGCGGTGAAGGCAGGAACGTCAACACCGAGAGCGATAACGGGGCCAGCAACTTCGGGGAGGGTGCCGCGAGCAGCCTTGATGGGCAGACCAGTGCCTGCGGCGTTGCTCAAGACAGAGAGGACAGAGCTGACAATAGGAAGCTCGACAGTGACGCTAGGAATGGTGACGTCAACGGCCGCGAGATCGCGAGAGTCGACAGATGCAATGATACTCTTCAAGACGGCCATGACAGTCTTGACAGCGGCGATGTCGACGGTGGTGCTGGGAACCTCAACAGGGAGCGCACGAGGAAGAAGCGAGGCCTTGATGTCGCCGACGACAGAGGCAACAGAGCTAACAATGGGGAGTGCGGCAGGGGTCTCGCGGGCGACAACGGGAACCTTGATGCCGCCAACAACCGAGCTGACGATGGAGAGCACTTCAGGAGTCTCGCGGGGAAGGACTGCGGCCTTGACACCGCTGAGCACCGAGCTGACGATGGGAAGGACCTCAGGAGTCTCACGAGGGACAACCGCAGCCTTGATGCCGCTAACAGCCGAGCTGATGATTGGAAGGATCTCGGGAGTCTCGCGGGCAACAACAGGAACCTTGATGCCGCCGACAACTGAGCTGACGATGGAGAGGACCTCCGGAGTCTCGCGGGGAACAACTGCAGCCTTGACACCGCTCAGAACCGAGCTGACAATGGGGAGCACCTCGGGGGTCTCGCGGGCATTGATGCCGGCCTTGACACCGCCAGCAACTGATGCAATAGAGCTGACAATAGGAAGCACATCGGGTGTCTGGCGAGGAATCATCGCGGCCTTGATGTCGCCCAAGACAGAGAGAACCGAGCTGACCACAGGAAGAGGCGTCGGAACCTCGCGAGCTGCAACGGAGGCCTTGATGTCGCCAAGAACAGAGAGAACACTGGTGGCTGCGGGAAGATCGAGCACCACATTAGCAGGCTGAGGCTCAGCGTTGCGGGCAGTGACGAGGCCGCCCAGGGCTGAGATGATGCTGCTAATCGCTTGGAGATCCACGGACTGGGTGGGGATGACGGCCTTGGGAACCTTGATGTTGCGGCGAGGCAGCTTAGGAGTATTGGGAACCTTTGGGTAGGGAATGGCGACGTCAGGGAGCTTGACAGACAGGGTCGGAGTGGAAACGTTTGGGAGCGCAGTCTTGGGTGGCTGAATTGCGTTGAAGTCGACTGGGAATTCATCCTCGCGGGGAGCCAACGCCGGAAGACCCGCGCCGGCGGTGGGCACGACGATGGGGACGCTGACCGAGATCTCGAGGCCTTGCGGAGTGAGCTTGACCGGAAGGTCTCGCGCTACCTTCGGGCCCTTCAACTCCACATTCGGCAAAGCCGGCTCGACGATAAGGTCCTTGTTGATGTTAATCGGCGGGACAGTCGGGGCCGTGGGTTCAACCGTAGGGAATGCGGGAGGGGTGACAGTGGGAGCGTGGACCTTCGGGACGTCGGGTTGGGGAGGCTGGACCGGAGTGAATTGAACAAGCTGAGGGGCTGCTGCGGCGCCAAGGGCGAGAGCAAGAGTGGTGAAGTTGCGAATGGTAGACATTGTGAAGGGTGATGAAGGTATTGATTAAAATTAGGGGTAAGAGGATGTATTAAGAGTATTAAGTATTAATTAAGAGAGTAGATGTAGTAGTAGTAGTGGTGAAGACCTGAGCTGAGTTGTTGCTGGTGAAAAGAAAAGAGACCTAGAGAACGGAATTCTCGTCCAGCTTTATAAGTGTTCCTTGTCGCGATTCTCACGATGAAGCCTAAGATATTCCTGTCGCAGGCAGCTTCAATGGCTGAAAACAGTCAATGTCTGGAGGTGAGCTTGACGTGATCACCAACTCCCAGCCCAGGCGTTTGTTCTATCACCAACCTGGCTGAAGCTGAAAGCTCAACAACCTTTCAGCTCTAAAAAAGCTCCTCCCGGATGGCTGGGTCTGGTCCCGGAGATGGCTCACGGCCGAGACGGGAGGAGCGCGCCAAGATCGCACATGGCCGTTGATGCTGGCTAGCCCACCAATCTGGAGTCCGTTTCCGAGACATGGCTTTGGGCTTCTTTCTAGCAGATGGTCGGTAGATCCCGTTAGTAGTGGACGAGGCTCATAGCCGTGGCTTGCTTATGACGAAAGTCTAGGCAAATGGTCGCATGCAGCCATACCTAAAATTTCCTCATATTGCGCAAATCGGTTTCGAACTGTTCGAGAAAATATCGCAATCATGTCTTAGATGGAGTCCCTGTGCAATTTCAGAGTTTTTCTTTGAACTCCCGTCAGAAAGCTCTTCTCTCGTGGACATCTCGTGGTGTGAGTGTGGCCTGCATGTTGCTGCACGTTGTCGTGGAACGTGAGGTCAAACGTGGGAGTAAGCATTAGGACTGCCGATCACCCAGGAGAAACCTTTTTGATTTGCCGTCATTCTGAAGAAGCAGTGATCATCAGGACGTTCGACCGTATCCGTAAGTTTTGACCCTTGTTCCTTACTTGGCTTCGCCTCCGAAGCGCCACTGACTGAGACAAGATGACCTAAATCAAGCCTTAGATCCCGCGACGTCCAAGGGAGGGTTTTCTTCAGCCCATCTACACACATCGGGTTTTCCCGCTGTCAAAGCAAGGAGATACCGTTCCCAGTATCCCGTCACAGGCTCCTCAGGTAAGACCTTTTCCAGAGACACAGCCCCACGGCGCTTATCAACAAGCACCCACCGCCATTGCCCGTCCCTGTCCCCACCCGGATAGAGTTTTCCGTCGAACTCGCCCGTACCAAGATCCAACTCCCTGGGTCTGAAGCTTTTGTTGGTCTGGTTTAGTTCGGAGGCGGTCAAACCAGACCCGCGCTCTAGCTTCCAGAGCGCACTGCCGTCCGCCGCCCGGGTAAGGGGCTTGCAGTCCCAGATCTCTGCATCGTCAAGAGCAAGCCCTTGGCAGGCTAACCTGACGCGAACGCTGCTGTGGATTCTTTCGTTGGTGTTCAGCAGAGCCTCGTCGCCGTCTTGGTTCGTATCTGGGTCAGTACGCATGAAGATTCCAGGATGTCGGACTGTGGTCCCGCCAATGGTCTGTAGGCGGCCGCCAGGGTCTCGCATTAGGCCTAGTCCCCAAGGTCGGGCAAGCTTCCAGAGATCTTCCTCGCTGCCGGCCGGGTGAGAATCCTTGCCATTACATTCAGCCGCATCGCGCTTCACACTGCAGATCTTCGCCGCACAGATCTCGGGCTGAGCCCATTGGAGGAGCTTCTTCGCCGACAGCCATGATACCCATGAGCCTTGGGTTACGTAAGAGAACCGATGACCTGCAGAGTACCGCAGATCTTGGTTGAAGATGTCCTCCATGCGGCCTGGGTTAAACTCAATTCCGACGCTCGATAACTGGTCACACATCCCTGCGAATGTCAGATGAATGTCTGCTTCACTCATTTCCCAATCAAATAAACAAGCACGTACAGGCGAGAGATATGTTGGCGATTTGCTGCTCATGCCATCCACCTCCAACAGTGCTATGACTTCCGGGAAACCACATCTGTTTGAGATCTGTCTTGGTGTTTGTCAAGCCTTTCCCAAAGAGCTGGCCTGAATGCATACCTTCATCAAGAGCAAGGGCATGGAATGCATTCTCTACGTGGTCCGAGATCTGAGTACTTGAGAATTTCCATGTACATGGAGTCAGCAGAAGTCTCACGCTTAGTAGTTTGGTAACTTATTGGAGGATCCGCGTAAACTGATGACTGGCGCTGGGGGAATGCTCAGGGTTCCAAAGGTATCCCACACACCGATTGCCTTGATTTTGATCTCCGTCGTACCATCTTGGTATTTGTGTCTAGTGTAGCCATTCTGTTGGTGTAAGCCACCATCTCGATTGCACTACTTTGGAGCACACCTATCCTTTTAAGCCACTCCTCATACTGCAGCTTTCGCTTCTTTTCCCACTCCCGCTTGGCGTTTCCTTTCTCGCCGTCATATGGCAGAACCTGGGGATCCAGAAAGAGGGTGAGATTGCGATTCACGTCAGTCATGCTCTCATAATCTTCGAACACCGCGTAGAAGCGGTCCAGCCCCAATGGCGTCAGTAAGCCGACTGTTGGAGTCATGTCGAAACAGAGCGCGCGGTGAATGCACCCCGAGAGAAGCCGATAAGGATTATATCGTCTCCGTCAACATAGTTGGCGCAGATGAAGTTGTATACTTCTCTGATATTCTGGATGCTAATCAGACGTGGAAACTTTCGAATGATAACGAAAAGGGCGTACCTGAGCAAGTCCAGTCCCAAGAAGGCCACCGGTGAACCTGTACACATAAATATCCGAACTGCCGACGCCTGGATCATACATGATGATCTGGTGGGTGCCGTCATGGCAGGTTCTTCGGAAGACTCGTGAGATTCGCGTGACGTTGGATTGAGGCTCAGCCCTATATTTGTTGTATGAGACTATCAAAGCTAAATAGATTAAACGGCTCTTCTGGCATGCTCTCTCTTTACCAGTGAGTCCATCCATGTCCCATCGCAGCAAACGATGAGCCGCTTTTGTGCTCCATGTGTTGTCTGAGCCATTTTGGACGGGTTAGTTCAATAGAGTTGTGCTGTCCGGGCGAACACTTCTAGCTAACCGGGCGGGTAGCAGATACATAACGATAGGGATAATCCACGACCAAGACAATAACGACGACGATAACGATGACGATAATAATAGGGATAGAAAGAGGAATAGAAATAGCGACGAAAGGAGTTAAAGTAAATTGAGATAAAGTCAACTATTAGACCTGATATAGGTAGTTATCCGCCCGGTTAGCTAGAAGTATCCGCACGGATAGCAAGACACATTTCAATGATATGTCGACCAGAGATTGAAGATAATAGATTTTGGAATTGGGTCCACCAAGTGCTCATAGCCTTGGCCCAGGAGGAGCATCACCTGGCGCCAGCTCTATGTTTTTAAGAGCACGACTACCACGAGAACCTTCCATGAGCTGGTTGACAGGCGTGGTGTCATCTTCTTGAGACCTCCATTTCCACGCCTTCACCGCCGGTCTGTCCAAACTCACTCCTTCAATAATATCCACCACCCAGTTGCCAATTGTGGGCAGATACTTGAAGGCATGGCCGCTTCCAGCTGTGGCAACCATCAGGCCCTTCTTCTGGGGCACTCGATCGATGACGAAATGGTTATCAAATGAGTCAGTATACCAACACAAACGTGTTGCTAGAACGTCAATGCCTGATAGCTCTGGAAGAAATTCGTTGATGAATCTTCGTATGACCTCGAGTGCCTGGGTAGGGATTTGACGAATCGTTTCGTCTTCGGTCCACCGAGTAACTGGCACACTGCGCTCTAGGCCATCTAGTTGCAATCTCGGGTTTGTGTACTTAGTGCCGCGGTACCCAATTTTCAGTACACCATTCTCGTCCACGGGGAAGCCATACAGTCCGCCTTCTGCACCGTCACCGATCTTGTAGGACCAGGCTGGGAAGCGTGCCGGTGCGAATCTTCCACGAAGATATTCTGGGACGCTCAACATGACGACAGACCCTGCAGTTGTCTCCGCAAGCCCATCGAGAGAAGGAACCAAGGTTGGAGTCCATCCGCCACTGGCAATGATCGTCAGGGCAGCTTTGTGTGACTTTCCATCTGTGGTGCGCACACCAATGATATCGGACTCTTGACCTTTTATCAATGAAGCCACCTTTCCAGCTGTTGAATCGAGAATCAGTCGCACACCAAGGCGTTTTGCCTTGTGCAAAGCAAAGCGACAGGCTTTATCAGCCAAAGTAATACCGCCAGTGGTGTCCAGTACTCCCAGAAGGTTCTTGGAGAATGGCTGCATCATGGGAAGAAAGCCCCTGCTCATTGCAGCTTCCAAGTCCTGTGGACTGTTGTTGACGAGCTGAGTATCTCGATGACCGGCCTTCTCCATGTTGTCAATTGTTGCTTTGTCGGAGTCCGGCAAAGTATCGCCGTCGGTACACGAGAGATCGCCATTGTTGATCCAGAGGTCTTCGGTAGCGCTCATTCCCGGAGGCACAGCTTCTCCTCCTTGTCGAAGCTCTTCGGTCCATGATTTCCAAAATTTGATTGCCTCGAAACTCAGGTTTTGGTAGATAGTCTGAGAGCCATACGCGGAACGAATGATCTTGTTGATATCTGGAGTACAGGTTAACCAAGACGAACGGTTAAACTTATCCTCGCAAATCTCACCTGCAGATGCAGCGTCACAGCCTTCGAAGTAGGAATAATTGGTTTTTTCATACGGTTGTTTATCCAAGAGAGTGATGTTGGTGTATCCGCGCTCCGCTAGGTGGATAGAGGTACTGAGCCCAAAGATGCCAGCACCGACGACAACAACATGGTCGTCTTTGGCCAAAGGAGCGGTTTCAACAGACATACTGTTCGTGTAGATCAAGAAGAAAATCACGATATGGAAATGTCCATGGAAATCTTTGCAGGACATGAGTGTTTGTTATGAACTCGACCATCAGTCTTGGTATCCGAGGGGATCATACCTATGACAACATCAGTTGATTAATCGAATTAAGTCCGATACCCGCAGCTTCGAAGAGAAGCTGCAATATGCGGTGTTTTTGCCGATGCTTCCCCCACTGAACCTGCCACAAGTGACTCTTCTTACAACACTTGGCCCGCCTACTGCTCTTGAAGTGGGCACACTGGTCGTGACCGGTCGGGGATCAGGACTGCCCCGCAACGTTCACGCATCGGAAATTGCGCCGGGAAGAACCGATGCACAAGAGTAAGATGGCTGAATTCCATTGGTCGATGAAAACCAAACGGTCGTCCGAGTGCTCCATCATGATGCAGTATCTCCAATCCAAGCGTCATGTTGCAACGAATCGGAAGCCGAGCTCGGGTACACCCGATAGCTACTTCGACTCTCCTCCAAGTGTCACCGGCCCGTCGGAAACATGTAACGAGATGCAGCAAACCTTCTGCCTTGAGAGAGCGAGGATCAGCCTCACCCCGCCCTGTTCTGCGGGGATCACATTCATCACAAGCGTTGCGATAGCGTCCGCCTTATCTCAACATTGACGAGGATGCCATCTTCTCTGACACAGGGTTCTTGGCGAGATATCATAATGCTTTATTCTACAACTGTCAGGCTGCTTTTCATACCATGCATCAGGATGTTTGTTTAAAGTCCGGCAAATACCAGTACAAGGCACTCATCTTCTGCGCTTCTTGGAGTTAAAGTCGGCACACCATATTTAGAAAAAACCGAAATAGCAGACCTCTCGACATTCAACAATCACAGCAGGGCATTATTGAGCAACGGTATTACAGATGCCTTCTGCTGAGGAACATGACGATCCCGCGTGGCCGCCCGGTACCGTGCGACTGGAAGGTAGGTAAATCATCGTCTTTCTTTTCGGTTCTAGACGTCCAGACAACAGACTAAAGCTTTTCCCGTAGAAGAAAGGGGTTCTATGGAGATCATCCTACAACCGCTACCATCACGAGACCCTAACGACCCTCTGGTAAGGTGCCGCAGCTGAATTCTGCCTTACATTAGTTTAATCCCTGCGCTCCCGTATGACTTACCAAAATTTCAGAATTGGCCCAGACCCTTGAAGTATTGGAATTTTGGACTGGCCGCCTTCTACACCTTGATGGTGTTTGCACTGTATGCTTGACATTCCCGACTTTGACACGCCGCCGGCCAGCCGCTAACAAGACCTCAGTATCGATGCGGCCACTCCGACTTGGGCTCCTATGCATGAGCAACTGGGCTTCAGTTACGACGTTCTCAACACCAGCTATGCTGTAGGTTGTGGTGCTCTTGCCATAGGCGCTGTCATGTTGAATCCATTCACATTGAAGTATGGCCGACGACCAGTCTACATCCTCAGCACAGCCATTCAGTTCGGTGTAACGATCTGGTCTGCACACCAGCAAACGGTGGTAGATTTGATGATGGTCAACATAATAAGCTGTTTCGTGGGTGCCCTCGCTGAAGTGGTTGTGCAGATGACCGTGGCCGACGTATTCTTCGTCAATCAGCGAGGCACCATGAATGCTTTGTTCTTTTGGTCAACTCGAATAGGGGCATCACTCACGCCCTTGGCGGCTGGCTATGTGACAACGTCTCAAGGTTGGCGCTGGGTATGGTGGTGGATTGCCATCTTCTTTGGTTTGCTTTTGCTGGCCATGGTATTTGGCTACGAGGAGACGAAGTTCATCTTGCCTCCGATTAGTGGCATTGGCCATTCTGATGAGGGTACAGGGAAAGTCGACGAGAACTCTAAAAGTCCCGACTTACACAGAGATGCTCCATCGAACAGGAGGACCAGCCTCAAGCTGAACGGTCCATCCCTTGACCACGAGATCCAACGCAAGAGCTACAGGCAGCGCCTGTCACTCACGACGTCATCGCCCGGCTCATTCCGCACCTTTTCCCGTCATTGCTATCAACCATTTCAAATCTTGTTCTCGGTACCAGGCGTTTTCTACATGTCTCTCGTCTACGGTGCGATGATGATCTCATCCAACATTCTAGTCACAACAATGTCAAATTGGATGACGCGGGCACCATACAACTTTGACCCTGACCAAATAGGTTTGATGAGTTTGGCTCCCTTCACAGGGTCGACCCTGGGAACCTTACTTTGTGGTCCGCTCAGCGATTGGTGGATTTTGTTCGCGTCCAAACGCAATAAGGGAATCTATGAGCCAGAAATGCGACTTTGGGTGATGGCAGCATTTGCACCATTCGCGCCAATTGGCATGATACTGTTTGGTGTCGGGCTCAGTAACGGCTGGTCTTGGCCCGCCCTCGCTGTGAGCTATGCCATGTGCAGTTTCGGAACAGCTCCAGCAGGGACCATATCCTTGACGTACATCACAGATGCCTACACAGAAGTCAGCACATTTCTTTTCCACATGATGAGTGAAAACAACAGCTGACACACCCTACTTGCTAGATTGTTGGCGATGCTATGGTCGGAGTCACCTTCGTTCGGAACATATGCTCCTTCATCATCATCTTCGCTCTGCCTCAGTGGATCGCTTCTTCAGGAGTTCAGACTGTGTACATCACAATTGGGGTCTTAATCACTGCCATTCTGTTCGGAAGTGGGCTATTTATCGCCTTTGGGAAGAAGTGGAGGTTCCGCTTTCGCTTGATGTACCGTCACTTCGCCCGGAGACAGTTCGAGCCTCGAGCGCTCTGATATTAATGGATCTGCTTAGTATTGTATGTGGGCAACATCAACGCGATGCCGACCGGCTCCTTTGAAGAGATAGTAACACACATACCGTATATACTCAAAAGATCTGGAATCCGCACCCCCCGGCCACAACGACCGATTGGCCAGCTGTAGAGGCCTGTGGAGGCCTAAATTGAGGCCTGCTAGGGTGTGGCAGGGGCTGGCAAGGGGGTGTGGCTAGGGGTTGAGTTAGGGCTGGTGGCAGCTAAAACGGCAGAATCTGAGACTTATGGTATTGGCGTATGTAGCGAAAAACGTGTTTTTTTTATGTTTTTGCGTATGGTGTTAAAAATGGAGGACTGCGGTAAGATTGACCTCGTCTGTGAGTACCTTAAAAAGGCTGTATTTTGCTGAGTAGAGATTGTACTGATTGATAAGATGTAACTGATGATTACCCTGATTCTTCCTGCTTTGAGGTTTAGTAATGGTACTGACTTAGCTATTGAAAACCCTCCTCTCTTGGCGTGCCTATAGGGATCTCTCTTATGACTAAAAATGATGTTGCTAATGAGGCTGGTGAGGCTGATGATAACTGGTATTTTGGCTGGGTTAGAGAGCGTAGTTGAGGTGCTGTTGAGCCTGCCCTACTGGTAGGCTATGTTGTTGATATATTTGTTAAGTGGCTAGGTAAGTGTTGGCGTAAGTGGGATAAAAGACTTGCTATTGAGCGTGAGTGGTAGGAAGTGGAGGGGTTTTTTTTCTGGGGTGATGAGCTGGGTATACTGATTGGTGGTATGGTTAATTGATAGGTATGGGGGCTTTTGACGTGCTAGAGATGCTGCTTTTGACGTCTTCTGCCCCTATAATGTATTATGTGTGGTTAAACTAATTATAGAAGTCTGGAAGCTTTTTGTTAGTAGCCTCTTTTTTGATGTAGGTGTTGAAGTTGATGGTATCCTACCTTGTGAAGTTGATACTGCTAGCTGGGATATTTTTGATGTTAATGAGGTGATTTTTGCTGCTGTTGGGGTGTATGGAGATGCTATACTTGCGGAAGGCTTTTTGGACTATTTTGGCCCTCTTGTTGAGCTGCTGGTATGCTAAAGTGATGGTGTGGGTGGTTATAATCCTCTTTATACTGATGTTTTATTTGAGGGTTTTGCTAGTAGTAGTGTAGTGCTACTTGAGGTTGTTGATGTAGTTATTAGTAGTTTTATGAAGCTACTCTTTGAATAGCTTGTTGATAGTAGTGTTGAGAGGTTGTAGGAGGTAAGTGAGGCTAGGTGGGATGAGGGTAGGTGTGATGTTGAGATCTTTGAGTTTACTTATAATATATGGGGTCTTGTGGAAGGTGGTAATGTCTATAACTAGTAGAGTTTTGTGGCTGTTGAGGGTAGGTGCTAACTTCTTGTTGATCTACTTATCTAATAAGATCTTGTTATTATAGGCTGTCTTGTTGAACTTGATAGTTATGCTAGTGTTGTAGAGATGCCCCTTATTAGCCTTAATTTTGCTGCTTTGTGAGGTAGGTGTATTATGAAAAATTAGCTTGGGTTTGATGTGTTGTATGCTGTTAGCGTAGATATATAGTATAAGAGTAGCTTGCTGCTTATCCTAGCTATTGTGGTTAGTCTTGCTAGCTATAGTTTTGCTGCTGCTGTTAGCTTATGTTGACTTTGACCTATACTTTTATGGGATGGGGGTTTTGTTAAAGTTGAGGGTGTGAGAGAGGGCGTGGTGATGTGATGGTGAGCTTGTGATTGGATTAACCTCTGGCTTATTCTTGGGCTGAGGTAGTTTGTGGAGGTAGGGTTGGTTGATGTGGTGGCAGAAGCGTAGGAAGGAGTTGATGTAGTTGATGTATTTAGAGGGTAGTTTTGATGCCTGCTTGGTGATGTGGTGGTTGGTGATGTTGAATTGCTTGTGGAAGCCTAAAAACTAGCCTGCTGAGAAGGTAAAGAGGTGGCTAAGTGGTGGGCTAATAGGATTGCCCTATTTATCTTGAGGTTGATATACCGATCTGAAAAGAGCCCTTGCGTGAGTGTGAAACTAGCCTGTAGTGATGATTTTGCTTTGGGTATGTAGCTGGCTAAACTTGGCGTATAGAGTGACTTTTAGTTTAGGGTAGTTGGGCTTGTAGGCGTAGTGGTGGCTTTTGGGGTTGAGGATTTTATCCTGGGTAGCTTACTAGCTGCTGATAGTGTTGGTGGGGATTTTGAATTAGTTTGAGGCTTCTTGGTAGGTTGGCTGGTGGTGAAGACCTTGGCTTTGCTTCTTGCTGCCTTGGAGGTGTATCTTTTGAGTGGTTGATGTGAGGAGGCTGTGGCGGATGTGGTGGTGTTTAAGAAATAGTAGGACTTTATGCTTCTTCTGATGTGAGTATGTATGCTTAATGCGTTGGATGGGCTGTGATAACCCTGCGTATGGTGAGGTGGTGAGAGTATGCGCCTGAGGGCCTCTCTGTGGCTTCTTTTCTGGTGTGATAAACGTAATGCTGGCGCTGGTGCTAGCGTTAGGATCCTTCTCTGCGAGAGGTGGTATCTTGCTGGTGATATGTATCTGAGGTAAGGTTAGATGCTGTGGTAAGAAAACACTAAAAAAGATGTACCTGTGGTGTTGACTGCCTACTAAAAAAGGCTTGAAGTGGTGGCGTGGAGGAGGCTTTGAAGTGGTTAAGTGTGGTGGGTTGGTAGGGGGGGTGTGGATTCCAGATCTTTTGAGTATATACGGTAAATGAGATCCACGGACACGATTGACCTTGAACATTCGCCTGCTGATTGCTGCAAAGCGGAAGGATTCCACGTGGTTTCAATTCCTTATTTGCCCCCGCCGCCTAGCGAAGTCAAAGTACCGCGGGGGTCAGTGCTTAATAAATGCATGAACTCAGCTAAAAGCCGAATAAGCTAGCCGCCTATACGTGATCACAGCTAAGGCGCGCGCTGTCGGATGAACATTAGTTCTCGAAATTAAGGTTATCTGACACTTTAATTGAGTATTTGCCGACTGCCATAACGAGCGTTGGCGTGAAGTCCGGCCAATAGCAGCAGGACGAACCCCTGGAACTACTTTGATAAGCTTTGGCCCGTCAACTTCAGAATCAAAAGAGGGAGGTCGAATGCAACTGAATATGCACCAATCCTGACCGGCGGACTTTCAGTCCATCTCGGCTCAGTCGGGATCTTCAGATACGAGAACTCTACTGCTGGTAATAGGGGCTTGTGCATTGGAAATGCGCTCACTCTCCTCTTGGTGGGGCATCTAATCCCGAAATGGTGGTCAATAGGAGTGAACTATATGTATTGAAGGTCCTTCCGAGCTGCATGTACCAGTTGCATCTTGGGACCAGACTCTCGGGTCCAAACAACATCAGATTGTCGCGCACGAACATCATGGCGAGAACTTCTTGGCTGCTGCTCCTGAGCTCCCTCCTCACAGGGATTGCTTCAGGGGCTGAACTGAAGAAAACGTACATCGTCACGATGCGCGACACACAGGCAAGCGGCCTCCTCCGCAGGTCTCTCATCGATACTTCTTTACAATCTGTCTCCGCCGACCCTGCTGCGGTCATCTACACCTATGAACACACCATCAATGGGTACGCAGCAAAAATCACCGATGATCAGGCCAACGCATTGAGGGCACAGCCAGATGTTCTCTCTGTTAGACCGGACAAGGTCTATCACCTCCATACGAGTCGTACTCCTGCGTTTCTAGGACTGCTTGACTCTGAAGCTCTGCTTGGTCGCAGCCCCGGCGTCGACACGGGCATGTACCTCGACGCGCGTGACGACGTGAACGGCACAAGCGCCGAGTCAAACTTGGTCGTCGGCATCTTTGACACTGGGGTTTGGCCTGAAAACCCAAGCTACAAGGACGATGGCATGCCTCCCGTTCCTTCTCACTGGAAGGGCGAATGCGAAACTGGCCCAGACTTCCCGGCCACAAGCTGCAACAAGAAGCTTGTGGGCGCCAGAGCCTTCTATAAGGGATACGTTGCCGCTGTCACCAACGGAACTGGAGCTTTTAACTGGACTGGAGAATCTCAGTCTCCTAGGGATGACGACGGTCACGGAACACATACTTCCACTACCTCTGCTGGTAATGAAGTCCCCAACGCAAGCTTGTTTGGACAAGCCTCCGGTACAGCTCGTGGCATGGCTAAGGATGCACGCATCGCCATGTATAAGGTTTGCTGGAAGGAGGGTTGCTTCGATTCCGATATTCTCTCGGCCTTCGACCAAGCGATCGCGGATGGAGTGAATGTCATGTCTTTGTCGCTGGGCCCCGACCAGCCAAGCTTCAACGAGGAGGAGGGTATCGTGGTTGGCAGCTACGCAGCCATGAAGAAGGGAATCTTTGTTGCCGTGTCGGCTGGAAACAGCGGCCCAGGACCCGGGACCGTCACGAACCTTGCCCCGTGGGTTTTGAACGTCGCCGCCAGCACGCTGGACCGTGACTTCCCTGCCCACATCACACTCGGCAACGGCAAGAACTACACCGGCTTTTCTCTTTACAGCAACGGATCAGTGACAGACATCACGCCGTTAGCCGACGGAGAGGTGCTTCCTCTGGTTCACGGTAGTCAAGCGGGCAAAGGAAACGCCACAACAGCATCGCTCTGCCTTGCGGGCAGCCTTGATCCTGCCAAGGTGGCCGGCAAGGCCGTTGTCTGCGTCAGGGGCCAAAACGGAAGGACAGAGAAGGGCGGCGTCGTCAAGTCTGCTGGAGGTCGTGCGATGGTACTTGTTAACTCCGAAACCGATGGCGATGGTACCATTGCTGATGCCCATATTCTTCCTGCTCTGCACCTTGGCTACTCAGACGGATCTGAAGTTGAAGCCTACGCAAAGACGGGCAATGGGACGGCAGTGATCGACTTTGAAGGTACCAGATTGGGTGTTCCGGCTCCTCTCATGGCATCTTTCAGCTCTAGAGGCCCCAACGTTGTGGTCCCCGGACTTCTCAAGCCGGATATCACTGGCCCAGGCGTCTCCATCCTGGCTGGGTGGTCTGGCACCGGTCCGACCGGACTTGACATTGACACAAGAAAGATTGACTGGAACGTGATTTCCGGTACAAGTATGAGTTGCCCGCATTTGTCTGGGATTGCGACTTTCATTCTTGCCCGGCGCCCTGAATGGAGCCCTGCAGCTATCCGGTCAGCCATCATGACTACTGCATACACCACGACGAAGGGCACTCAGTCTCCTCTTTTGGACTCTGCTAACGACAAGGCGGCCTCTGTCTTCGATTATGGAAACGGCCACGTTGACCCCGTCGCAGCTCTGAACCCTGGCCTCATATACGACATTTCTCCGGATGACTACCTTGACTTTCTCTGCGCGGTCAACAGCACATCTGCCTTTACCAGCGGCATCACAAGAAGCAACTTTACCTGCGCCTCCAATCAAACATACAGCGTCTACGACCTTAATTATCCTTCTTTCTCTGCGCTTTACGATAGTTCTACGAACGGGTCGTATACTGCCACGTTCAAGCGCACCGTCACCAACGTCGGAGGTGCTGGTACTTACAAGGTTGACATCTCTCTCACTGACCCCGCACTGGTCAAGGTTGCTGTCACCCCTGAGACTCTCACTTTCAGCGAGGCGGGCGAGAAGCAGAGCTTCGTAGTTTCCGCAACATTGGGTTCATCACCCGGTGCCGATGCTAAATCTCAAGGGAGGCTTGTCTGGTCTGACGGGACACATGTGGTCGGAAGTTCGATGGCTTTCATTTGGGGGTAGTTGAACTTAGTGTCATGCCGAGTCAAGGACATTACCACGAGCTCGTGCTACCTAGGTTTAGTGAAATCTGAACGCTGTAAGGCGCCATTTCAACGACCTGTGCCAAGCTAATAATCCCTGGCATGGCGGCGAGATAAGGAAGATAGCACCAATCACGGCTCCAAATCCCTTATCAATCCATGCTTTGTGTATGACAGCGAATTGAGTCTCCCATTGCTGCGAAATATCTTCCTCCTCCAAAACCTCAGGGACCAGCAGTCCTTCAGCCAGGATCCAGCTTTGAAAAGGTTGAACCCCAAACAAAAAAGCAGGTCCAGGCCAGTTGAGGGCTAAATGACTCTGACTATTTCGTACTGAGCATGCGCAGCGCTCTTTCTGTCCCCTCAGGCTAACCATTGCGCCAGATGAGCGATCGCCAAAGACGCCCGGCGCGTCCCCCGCGTCGAACACGCACCAGAGCCCAAGGAGCTTGCATCGGTTGTAAAGAAAGGAAACTGAAGGTAAACTCGATCGCGCATATTCTGTCTGCACGGCATTTTCATCTGGATTTCCAGTGACTCAGATCACTAGTGCGATGACCAAGTCCCATCCTGCGCCAATTGCAGTCGTCTGGCCATTGGTAAGTCAAGTCCCCTGGAACGCCGATTTTTAGTGCATGCGAATGCTCAACAGCCGCTAGCATGTCTCGTGGAAGATTCCTCCACCAAGCGGCACCTCCCACGGAATTACGTTGAGACTTTAGAGGAGCGCATTCAGCTTCTGGAAGGCATGCTGCAGCAGCAAGATCAATCGTCTTCTGTGTCTGGGTTACCTTCCGCATCTGTCATCTCTGAGCAGTCTACGGATACTCCGAGCGGTAATCAGGGTGACCAGGATGATGCTGCTGATCTTGTTTCCAAGGCAGGCATCTTGAGTCTACATGCTTCCGGTGCCGAACCACAATACCTCGGTTCGTCGTCGATGTTTTCGTTCTCCCGGATAATTCATGCCTGCGTACGTCAGGTCGCACAGAGCAACCCTAATGACCATTTCGACTTGCACACGGGTGAGATGAACTCATCAGTATCACCGTGCCGGCTACCACGATATGAAGTGGGACTGCTATTGAGCAATGCTTATTTTGACAACGTTCATTTGCAATACCCATTCCTGCATGAACCTACGTTTAGACAGTGGGAGAGAAACGCGGCGGGACTAGGGTCAAAGTCTCCAACCCCAAGCGAGCTGTTTTTCGTCAACATGGTGAGTGATGCGGGATCAAATCATTGCATTGGCCTCTTCCCGTAGGCTTAGGCTGTATCACTAAGACTAGGCAGGTTTACGCTATTGGCGCGTTGTTGAAGTCGAATCCCAAATTGCTGTCACAGGTCAGTCACAGATTCAAATGCGCCAACATCGCATAAATCTAAACATTATGCTGTTCTAGCAACTCTATGCCTCAGCGCTATTGCACTTGGAAAGTGTACTCTCACAGAAAACCCTTGAATCCATTCAGGCTTTGCTATGCTGTGCACTATTCTCTATCAGGTCAGCTACTGGCCCGTCAGTGTGGTTAGTTCACCAATAACCCTGGCCTGTCATAATCATGACTAAACGCTCTCAACAGGAATCTTTCGGGACTTGCTCTTCGCCAGTGCATTGAACTTGGCTATCACCGCAACGTCAAGAGGTTTCATCTTCGGACCAACCTTCTGCGTTTAGAGTTGCGAAAGCGAGCCTTCTGGTGCGCGTATCAGATGGACTGCGCTGCCTCCGTAAATCTTGGCCTCCCTCTCACTCTTCCGATCCAAGAGGTGGATGCCGAAGTGAGATCCCATAGATCTATGTGATACGTGTACTTTCTTACTGACCGGGCAGCTTCCTCTTGATATCGATGATTCTGCGATAAGCGAAACAGAAGTCCAAGGGTCGCCAAGAACCTCACCAACGGGTCCTCCAACCACCGTCTCCCATGCGCTTCACCAGTTTGACATCAGATGCATTTGGGCGCGCATCTATGCTGTTTTCTACTCCAATGTCTCGATCGAAAACTCGGATAAAGAGAAGCACCAACGCCAAGTGCAGACGTTTCGCAGAGAGCTCGATGATTGGATGGCACGGACGCCTCCAGAGCCGCGTCGAGCAGCTGTTCCACTGACCGTGTTCTCCAACATGGAAGACTACAAGTTGACCTACTACGAAACTATTCTCTTTCTATATCGCGGCCAGCTGACTGATAAAAAGGATCAGGAAGACGATGTCTTCCTGGAGTGTGCTCAAGCAGCTGCAAGTATCTGCCAAGGCTGCAAACGCCTGTACATTGGAAAACCGATCAATTACACGTGGTCAACGCTACACCTTCTCTTTTTGGCGGGTTTAACCTACATGCACTGCCTTTGGACCTCTTCAGCCGTTCGAAGATCAGTTAGAGTCGACAACGTTAGCACCATCTTCACGACTTGTACAATGCTCTTGGCCATCATGGCGGAACGCTGGGAGGCTGCAGCACCATACCGAAACCTGTTTGAAGCGCTGTCTGCTAGAACCATGGCAATGGTGGTAGATCGGAATCAAGTCGACAGACCAGTCTTTCAGCCATCCTCTTTGGACTCCAACGAACCGAATATGGAAGACATGACAAATTGGGCGTCTCAAATTGCCGATGACAATATGCCTGATGCATTCGGGAGCCTTCTAAGTGGAATCATGGGTGACTTCGGCACAGAAGAGGAAGCAAGCGGGTTTTATGATAGTCTCTGGAACTTTTGAAACAAGTCTAATTCCTTCAAGTCATCTTCTCAGGTCCCAAAGTAACTCTTTGCAATATCAAGATTACGGAAGCGCAACATTGAGCCAACGGATGCTAGTTGCGATCTTCCTTTCGGCGATGACAACACTACATGTAACGTGAGATTTGAGAGAATACGAGAATGAGGCTATGACTAGACGAGTTGTGGAGAAGGGTAGTAAACACCTAGTTTTCGTGAGAGTTTGCGACAACGTGTGATTCAAATTTGAGAACCACTCTCGCGCGGATTCGCACGCCACTTTCAGTCTTCACTGACATCATGCATGTACCCGGGTGAGGTCGGTACCTGCATAGTAAATAGGCTTCAGCCGACCCACTCTGCTCTATCTGTAATTCCTTAGTGCGATCTCGGGGCGCTGAGTGGCCCGGCCAAGCTTTGGCTCACGACTCAGGAGCTTTAAAACCGAAAGAAGCCCAGCCCAACGCGGGCGAGGTCGCTTTTTCTTCCACAACTCCACAATGGTTGACCTGTTTAAAGAAATGTCGAATCCTACAGAATTGAGTGCATCGAGTAGCGCAAATCCGCCTACCCAGCTAGAGCTGGAATTGATACCTCATCAGCTGGAGATGAAGGATCCCGCAGACGATTGGACCGGGGTCTCATCAAGTAAAGAAAGGCGGAAGATACAAAATCGCCTTAACCAGAGGGCGCGTCGTTAGTAATCCCAAGACTTTACGTGGATCGTCAACTTGCGTCGCTAACACTATCTTTGTGCGCATAGGAAGAAGAAAATTGAACGAATTATGTAACAACTTGGAAAGTGGCGAAGGGGAGCGTGAGTCTTCAAGCTCAGTCGATGGAGATGGAGGCTATGTGCTTCTTTCGTGTCCGAATAGGAGGGCCGAGATGATCATTCTCGCAAGAAGTGCCCAGACAAACTACTCACTGGGAACCCCGCAACCAACCCAGCTCTATGCTCTTGTTGGCCTGAACCTACTGAATGCCTTGGCTCGAAACGCCCAGGTACTAGGCTTCGTCCCCCAATCTCTCTGCGCAGATCATTTCATTTCACCCTTCAACTTGGAGGGACCCAAGCTTCCTTGCGGGCCGCGGCAAGCATTATTGTGGCCTCCATTTCTTCGACCCACGGAAGCCCAGTATCAAATCACTCACCACCCGTTTCTGGACTTATTCCCAATTCCTTCGCTAAGGGAAAGTGCGATACGGGCTGAAGACCTTGGCTTCTTCGATGAGGATGAGTTCTGTGCTGATGTCTTTGGCGTTGGCCACAAGACTAATGATGGCGATGAGCGACCTCGTCTCATAGTCTGGGGCGAGTCTTGGGACCCTCGGGGATGGGAGGCAAATGAAGCCTTCTTCAGAAAATGGGCCTGGCTCATCCGCGGATGCCCTGAGATATTAGAAGGAACAAATTACTGGCGACAGAGGAGAGGAGAGAAGAAGTTAAACTTCGGACGACTTGGGAGCTGACATGGTATGGCTCTGAAATGAGATAAACGAAGGGTTTTGCGTTAACTATGTACATAGAAGTGATAGATTTATCCTAGTCTGCCTTCGATGGTAAACAGAAAGTGGACCATCAACTACATCACTTTCCCAAGCATAGGTAGCCTCTTAAAACGGCACAGCCGTGCCATGCCAGAAAATGTCACCCACGGCGTAGCGATCGGTGAAAGGCTTGATGTCCTCGTGGACACATGTCTTCTCAACGGGAACTCCTTCAAATCTCGCGGCGATCCAAGCAGCGATATCAGCCCTGGCGGCCTCCAAAACCTGGCCGTGTCCCATATCAGGATACACGCGAGCATGGACCGGACTTTCAGGGAAGGCGGTGCATGTCTGGTTGAAGTCGTCCAATGTCAGGTTGGCCGGAGTGATTGTGTCTGTCGAGCCCTGGATGACAAGCATGGGAGCCGCAATAGCATGGGGCCCCTGGCCGTTGTAGCGGACAGCCCAGTCGTTTGTTGCGGGATGCGTAAGCCAACTAGTGTTCTTGTAAAGCTGATTAGGCGTAAAGCCACCGACAATGGCAAACCCTGTCTGGAAGCATGACTTGTCCAGAGCTCCAAGTCTTTGTAGAGGAATCTCGCCGAGATAATCCTCTACCTTGATCTGGTCTGGGTAAAGCCTTGACAGAGACTGGAGGAAGTAGACGGAGAAGGGATCCCGAGCGGCTTGGCCCTGAGCTCGTTCAAGCGTTGCTGGGATCAGCTTCTGAGGACGCAGGGCAGGGGCTGCGGCAACGGAACCGACGAACTCGCCGGCAGCCAAAAGGGCCTCTTGGTCAGGCATGGCCAAACGCTCGTTGGTTCGCCAGGCAGTCATTCCGCCTTCACTGTGACCGTAAACCATCCACTTCTGGCTGAGAACATCTCCAAGCCCCTTTCTCGCAGCAATGAGAGCATAGGCGACATCGGCAGCATGGAGGAATCCAGACTCGTACATAAATCCTTGGGGTATGTCTGACCCCTGGCCCGCATAGTCTGGAGCAACAACAGCATATCCCGACTCGGCGAGAATGAAGGGAGCCTTCCAGTCGTAGTAAAGACCCTTGTTGTTAGTGGGAGCGCAGAGTCTACTGCGGCCTGCTGTTCCGTGCGTCCAGACAATGGTTCGCAGCTTGTTCTCCTCCGGCGTTCCCTGGGGTTTGGCAAACGGGTTGGTGAATGGCAAGAGAACCCAAGCCGAGGCCGGAATGGGCTTCCGATCGATATCCTCGGTCATGTACAGAACGCGCGAGAGCGATAGACTGGCCGGGAGTGTCCAATTGGAGGCCAGCTGAGCTGCAGGGACGTTCTCCCAGCGGAGAATATCCCCAGGTTTTGCTCCCGTGACGTTGGCAGGTGTCGAATAGAAAGGATCAGAGACAATGTCGCCGACCCAAAGTGCTGCTTCTGCTTCATAGGTCGTCTGGATGGCAGTCTGGCATTCCGCGTCGCAACTGGCCTGGCACTCGCTGTCGCATATAGGATCGAGGGCCATGGCAGCGCCAGCAAGGGCCGCCGTTAGTGGGAATAGCAGATGCATGATGATCAGAATAACGAAGGAATGAGATTGTTGTCTGAATTCCAGATATGATGCTGAAGCGAGGATCGAGGCTCATTATATACCTGTTGTTCGAAAGGACTAACTGGGTCTTTTAGGGGGGCGAGGCCATAGTCTGCACGTCCGTGACAGGTGTGAACCACGATCTGGTTCTATGGATCCAGAAGTATTGGACGAAAACAGTCAGTTGAACTCTATTTTGACTGCTTGTTTGCAACCCATATGTTTATTGTGGTATTGATTATCAAGAAAGGGGTGATGGGTGGGTAGCGTCCTCGGGGCGCATGTACCTTCCCAATCTGGCATAACTACCCGCCCATGGTTGTAGTTGAGGATCACTGCTGCGGGCCCCTCGCGCATAGACTCTGTCATTTACTCAGATCTACTGTCAGTTGAGGATGGACATGTAGAATCGGCTAACCGTAAGGATACCATTCGGAACCTTTCCGACGTGTTCCGAAACTCTTCAAGGCAGACGTCGCTCCAGCTGGACAATCGATGCTCTGTGGTGATGTGGATGTCCTGCGGGCAAGTATTGGAAGCTTTTTGCGTACCTTACGTCCGGGAGATCGTGGGCGTATCCCACCGGCATTGAGGCAAAGTGCAGTTCTCAGCGCACGTGATGTTGATTAATCAAAAACAACTATCATATGCCCCGGCGGTTCCTACTTAACAAAAGATGAGATGCCGTTCGGTATACCGTCGCTCATGCCGGATCTCCCACTCGTGGCCTACTTGGCCAAATTCATAATAGACATCTTTTCCAGGAGATATTTGTTCGGGATAGTATCCGCACCATCTTTTGTCGTGCTCAGGGCAACCTTCTCCCACTCATCGCACAGCCTGAGCTGCTCGTAGCACTTCTGTCTGACTACGGCCAGCGCATCGAGGCCCAAAGGTACCCGAATAGGGAATGGCTTCCCGGAAGCCATACCCTCGCTTTTGACTACATCCCAAACAGCCGAAGGGAGCTTCTCAACGGTAGATGGAATACTTTCCGCCATTTCCGGCGAGGAAAACTTTCCCATTATCTCCCCAAACAAGCCTTGGTAGTCGGGGATGCTAGGTGCCCCTCCGAGACCCTCGTCAGCCGCGGTCCTTGTCTGCCCAATGCCGGCCACGAAGGCTCCGGGCTCGAAAACAACGGTCCGCAGTCCCAAGTGGGCGGTTTCTCTTTGGAGATTCTCGGCAAAAACTTCGACGATCAGCGATTTCGTGTACCTTGGTCAGGGAAAATCTCTTTGACTTACTAGAGAGGCCGGCTTTTGTGATACCATAATGGGTAAAGAACGGGAAGGTTTGCCAGCCCATTGCAGAGCCAATGAAGGCGAAAGTACCGGCCTTCCTCTCTCTGAAATGAGGAAGGACGGCCTGCACAAGCCTAATTGCACCAATAAGATTGGTATCAAGCATCTTTTGGGTGAAGGCGTCGCTGAGTAGAGGATCAGAGTCAACTTCGCGTCACAATAAGCTCAGATAGGTACTAACTCTGCCTCTTCAATCGTCTGAGGAACTGAGATGCCGGCATTATTGACAACAAAGTCGATGTGACCGAAGACCTGGATGGCTTTTTCGATCTGTTCTCTGACAACAGCTAGTGGGGCAGTAGCATCCAAATCCAAAGGGACAATGCTGTTCGACCTCTTGTCTGCGAGTCTGATGCTTGCGCTGCGCCCAGTTGCTATCACCCGGTCGCCTCGTGCGGCGAACTGCTCCATCATGGCAGCCCCCATGCCTGAGGTTGTCCCGGTGATCAGCCAAACCTTTGAGTCTGTCATAGTGTTGCAGTTTTGGTAGGTATTAGTTCCGGTTGGTTGGCTGATGCGGTGTCGTGTAGTTATTCAGTGTAAGGCTAGGACGCTGAAGTTCTGATGCTGGTTCGAATTGCAAATTGTATCATTGAAGCAGAACAAGATGGCAATACATATATACACACTGTGATTTATAATTCGGCACTTGGCACGGACCGAACCACCGATCTCAGCCGGTGGGATTGAGGTCGTCTGGGGCCGATTGGGGGTGGCCAAGGATTACAGACCACTTTCGAACACTTCTTACAAATCTTAGAGACATTTCCAAAAGGCGGTGAGATGACGCGTTGTCACTCTTAACGGTCTAAAACGAGATAGACGGTTGCTCTGTCCACGACAGTCCAGCGCAACCCGGACATATCTATTTGTTGCATTAGGAAGGGGTGGGTAAGGCTATCAAACTTCGGAAAACAACTACTGTCACTGCTTTCAACGACTGACATGTTCAGGCATTATTAAAAAAATGTTGTCTCTGCCTCGGTGAGAGGGCGAAACGAATTGTCTTTTGCAACTTTTGCAACTTACTAGGTAAGTGTGGGACTCCTGGTCTGTGGCGATGATTGCACACCAGCAGTGGGGAGCTAAGAAGTAACAGGTAGCATAAACTTCATTAGGTTAGCAGTTTAGTGACTGCAACATCTTTTATCCTTTGGCTCCATAGGTTTTAGTACTTGTAAATGGCAGGCGTGATATAATATAGACAGGTTCTTGTATGGAATTAAGACTGCTTCCTTCGGACATCAGATTTGACCATACCAAACATCAACAGATACGAGATAGTATTTCTAGCTAAGGTAAATAGACCTTTATATTTTAGGCAAAGCCTCTGAGGCTTTTTTACACGAAAATGCCCCTTGACCTTACTAGTTCCACAAATCTGAGCACATCGTCAAGGAAAATCTCAGGCTGCTCTAGAGCTGCGAAGTGACCGCCCTAATCAAGATTTAGGCCCATACACTAGCGTGACGTCATGTCTCTCGTACCTTGTCATGTCTACTGTAATGTATTAAATTGGGATACACCTGATGTGCCCATGTCTTTGGCATGAGAACACACTCGAAGGGATATGCCGCATATCCGAACGGCTTTATCGTAGACTTGCTGATTGAAAGCGAGTCACCGGATGCTAGCACTGGAGCCAGGTGGCGATACGGATAAAGACTCCGTGGAAATGTTTCCGTCAACCAGTATAGCGTGGTGAGCTCGAGTATGGTTTGCATGCTTAGTCGGTGGAAGGGATCGGTCCAATGGACGTATTTTTCACCAATCCTTCATGGCAATAATCAGAGGATGCTTCAGGTGAATGGGCTCAAAACCAAGTGAGTAATGACTGACCAAGCTAGCAATGCAATTGGGCTCGACGCAATGCAGTGACCTATGGTAGCTGGTCTGAAACCGTGCTCGAAAACGTATGCAGAACCACTGAAAGCGAATTTCTTCCCTCGATCCATCTGCTCCTGTTCCTCCGGGGTTGAACTCTGGACAGTCGACAAATCGTCCCCAGGTTCGGGGCCTAAGAAGTTGACTATGTGTGCATTAGTCCATGCCCCATCTCGGCACTTCTTGTTTCTGTCTGCTTACGATGATACGCCTTGCATTCCTCGAATCTTGCGGACATCTGTCCAGCCAGATTGCTACCAACGTCGCCTCCCTGTGCGACGTACCCAGTACCAAAACCAAGCTCCATCATAAGTTGGTGCATCAGGCGCGGCGCTTGATCCAGAGTGAGCTCATTTTCCAGGTTGCCACTTGACGAAAGTCCGTAACCTGGTATTGAGGGCACGATGATGTGATAAGGAAGAGTTTCGGGAGTGAATCTTTGGGTGAGTAGTCGCAGCATTGGTCTGAATTCAAGGAAAGACCCAGGCCAGCCATGCATGAAGATAATTGGAATTGCATCATCCTTTTTCGAAAAGAGACCAACGAAGTGTATAGGTACTGTACCATGGTCAGGGTCTTCGATGGATATCCTGAAGTTGGGAAAGAGGTTGACGTCTTCTTCGAATTGATGGAAGTTGAACTCGAGCCATTCATCTCTAGCCTCGATTATCCATCGGCGACTGAGGCCAAATTCGAGATCTTCTTGCCTGTTGTACCATGTTTCTGGAGCTATGGGACAAAGTCGAAGAAGTGCTGTGAGGGTTTCGATTTGCAAATTGGAGATTTGAAAGTTGAGCTTTTCAGGCCTCTTGATGGCAAAGGCCGGGACAACTCCAAACTCTGTATGCGACATGCCCGTTTCTGTCAAGTGCTCCTGGGGAACGACGGCCTGGTGTTCTTTGACCTGACTTTATCATATCAAACTGTGCGCATTTGGCAGTTTATGACTGTTTGTGCCGTTTACTACCCCAATTCGGCTACTATGCAGCGCTGCTTCATCGTGCGGTGGGTTTTCTCCGGTGGCTTACTCCCTCAGATCCATGCACCGGAGTCCTTCCAGCGGCCCGTGATGCACGTTTCGGTCTATCGAAGGAGCTACCCGTGCCGGCAGTTGCTCCGCACTTGTCGGACAAATCCTTGGTTTAGTTGTCGGCTGGCTGCCGATCGAGGTTTGGGCTGAATCAGAACTTACGCAAGCTCACGATCTGCAAGCTTTGTCAGCGGGGACGGGCTTCTGAGTATGAGCGTAGCAAGTAGCCGGGGAAGATGCCTATTTCGGTATCGCATTCGGGGGAGCCCAGCGGCCGGAATCCGGTCTTTACGGCGGCTGCATAGGGCGTAGAATACGACTCGACTTACACGCGTATCAAATGCATCACTGTAGAGATTCTAGATAAAACGCTCGGTTAGTTCATTGAAATTAGGAGATTTAGAGCCCAGCCAGATTTACAACACGACTATTTCACTCTGTATCGCAACATTTGAACTCTTTGCCTAACACCTTACGGCCCCGAAAGGTTTACCAACATGAATTCTCGACCAACTTGGTGGGAGGAGCTGAGGGTTGACATACCCTTTGCTGACCAGCCGGCTGTCTATATTCTCACTCTGGCCGTGTTGGTGTTTTTTGCGCGCGCCTTTGGTGACCAAAAGAGCAACCTCCCGGAGCTTAACCCCAAGAAGGCGTTTGAATTCACCAACAGACGTCGAGTTTCCGAATTCTTCCCCCGAAGTGCTGCACTGCTGGCCGAGGGAAGGTCTCGTTTTGGGAACAAACTCTATAAGGCGTACTGTGATTGGGGAGAGGTTATCGTACTGTCGCCTCAGCACATCGAAGAGCTTCGAAGTGATGCGCGACTGTCATTCCTTGTTCCGGCAAATGATGTATACCCTATCTTCTCAGCGATGCTCGTCATTGATACAGTAGCTCACATGGACTCGCAGGATACCCATGGGTATATCCCCGGCTTCGACGCTTTTTCGCTGGATGATAAGTTGGCCAAAATAGTCACGAAGTATTTGACCAAGGCTCTGAGTGAGTGGTTCAGGACTCGGCAAATCACAATCTTGCAAGACTAACCAAAGTTGTCGTTGTCTACAGCTAAGCTTACGGCCCCAATTTCTCAAGAAGCAACGTTTGCAATGCGGGCAGTGTTGACAGACTCCCCAGGTACGAGTGTCCTCCAATGCTGTAGCAGAAGCCAACTAACCTTGTCAGAATGGCACGTCATGAGCCCCAAGGAAGACCTCGTTCGTGTTGTGTCCCAGATGTCTACAAGGATCTTCATGGGCGAGGAGCTCTGTAGAAATGAGGAATGGACAAAAGCATCCGGTGACTACACCATCACTGCCTTCAAAGCTACCGATGAAGTCAGAGCTTGGCCCCGACTCCTTAGGCCCATCGTTCACTGGGCCATGCCTGTTTGCCAGGATCTTCGGCAGCAGCTGGTCAAGGCCAATAATGCCCTCGAGCCCCATATCAAGAAGCGCAATGCCATCAAAGCTGCTGCTCTGGCCAAAGGACAGCCGAGCCCATTCGATGATCTGGTCGAGTGGTGGGAAACAGAGTACGGTCCATCGAATGAGCATGCTAGGCACCAAGTAAGCATCTTGGCTTAAAGAAGAATCACAGACTAGCAGACAACTAACTCTGAATCCAAGCTCACTCTAACCGTCGTTGCAATTCACACAACCTCTGATCTTCTTCAACAAACGATGATTGACGTAGCCATGAATCCCGAAATATTGGCCCCCCTCCGAGAAGAGGTCATCACTGTCTTGGGATCTCAAGGGTTGAAGAAGACGGCGTTGTACAACCTGAAGTTGATGGACAGTGTCATCAAGGAGTCTCAACGTATGAAGCCGGCGCTACTAGGTAAGTCTCCAAGTGAACATGGATCTTTGTTTGAACGAAGGTTGCTAATAGATTTCATCAAGGACTCTGGAGTCGACAAGCACTCGCTGACGTTGAGCTTTCGGACGGCTACGTAATCAAGAAGGGCCAGAGAGTCCTTGGAGAAGGTACTCACATGTGGAATTCTGAGTATTGGAAGGATGCCGACAAGTTTGATGGCTATCGATTCTTGAGGCTGCGGGAGGCGGCAGAGGGTGAAAGGGACGAAGACAGCAAGACGGCCCATCTCGTGAGCACAAGTTCAAGACATCTTGGATTCGGGCATGGGATCCATGCCTGTCCCGGCCGTTTCTTTGCCGCCAACGAGATCAAGATTGCCTTGTGCCATATCCTGCTCAAGTACGACTGGAAGCTTCCCGACGGCTTCCAGCCGAAGGCCACCACCTTCGGCATGTCAATTATTCCCGATCCGGCCACCAAGTTTCTCATCAGGCGACGGAAGGAGGAACTCGATCTGGACTCGCTTGAGTGTTAGATGACGCTCTTCAGGTTATTTACCCCCGTGAAGCTTTTCGTCTCTGCTAGTTACCCTTTTTGGGCTCTCCTTTTCTCAGGGCCATGTCTTGTTTTGCCCACTTCTCCACGGAACTTCGATTAGAAAGTAGACTAGGTGTCTTAGTACAATAAATCCCCGCCCACTCTCGATACAAGTGCTAGGTAGAGAATTCACAGGTGCATCGATAGACCAATTGAGCCATGGACGCTATCTGATGCTGATAACGGATACTGCTGCAGGTACGCGGATATCCCGCACCTGTCAAGAATCAAATTCCATTCTCAACGCCGAAAGCCACCAATCGCAGAGTGTGAACTAGTAACTGACCCAGGTACTAGGTGCTTCGCTACCATTGGTGTGATTGGGTGGGCTGGCCCGAGTCGTCAGATAACGTTAGGCGGATGCGACCTCGCCATGAGGTAGAAAGGCGAGCAAAGTTACGTGATGTTCGTTGAAGATCATTGGCGCTTAAACCATGATTGCGCTGGCACGGCATGTGATGGCGGTTTCCTTCCCTGGGTGCAACCTTTCGCCCAAGTACCACAATCAAGGAAACAAGGTTGATGAGCGATTTCTCCAGATGCCAAACCCCACATGACATGGTGTGCCATGGGGTAAACTACCGGAAGAGTGCATCTTCCCCATACGCTAGTCCCGTTGACGGAGTCGATTACGCCGTTTGTGGAGTCGCCCATCCCCGCATCGCGAGAGAGCTCGGCAAGACGCTACCCCGACGGTGAACTAGAGGTCTAGCCGCGCCATAGAAATGCATTCCGTATATGAAGTTTCACGCCGGCTGACTTGAATGCTTTGGCGCGGTGAACTTGACTCGGCTCAGAGCCAATGCCAATATTGCCAAGGCCACGGAGCTCTGCGTGACTGCGAGACTACATCACTAAGAACGTACTATGTATATAATGTCGATAATATCCAACAAATTGAACATGACTCTTTGAATTCGTGACGAAGTGGAATCTGTGGATCCACCAGGCTGATTCGGTTCAAAATGCGCGTTCTCTCAATCCTCACCGCTGTGGCCTCGGCCGCTCTCGTGGCAGCGAACCCTGTTCCCCGTCAGGCCACCAACTATGTTGGCTATCTTATTTCGACGTTCAGTGATGCCAACCCCAAGGTTCAATTTCACCTCTCAAACGGGAACAGCGCTTCGAGCTTCAAGTTCTTGAACAAGGGACAGCCCGTCCTCACTTCAACAGTCGGCACGAAAGCGGTCCGCGACGTGTTCCTGACGACCAATGCTGCCCGATCCGAATGGTACATCATTGCCACAGGTGAGTACTTAGACCTCATGCATTGCAGGAATGTAACTGATGGGTGATGAACAAAGATCTCGATATCAATGCCTCTGGCTTCAACTGGGACAAGGCCACGCGGACCGGCAGCCGTGGTATTGTTGTCTGGAAGTCGACTAACTTGGTTGACTGGTCTGCCCCCACTCTGAGAATGTAAGTACTTCAGATAAAATACTATAACCAATGCTTACACCTTTCCCAGCGTTGAAGCCGACACGGCTGGTATGGTTTGGGCTCCCTCTGCCGTCTGGGATGCCGACAAGGGCCATTGGTACGTCTTCTGGGCGTCTAGACACTACCGCTCAACCGACACCGGTCACACCGGCACCGCAACGCTTGATCGCATTCGCTACACGGCTACCAAGGACTTTGTAACTTTCAGCGCTGCCCGAGACTACGTTGCCCTAGCCGATACCCCTCTCATCGACCAAGAGTTCCAGTATCTCGGCACACCTGGAAACTTTGCTCGCTTCCTCAAGAACGAGACTACCAACCAAGTCTACCAGGAGGTTACCACCGGTGGTCTCTTTGGAACCTGGACACGCATTCCGGGATATGTTCGGAACGAGAGCCCGCGTGAGGGCCCCGCAGCATTCGCGGATAACACGACCCCCGGCCTGTACCATCTCTTGCTGGACGATTACACACAATATGTTCCCTTCCAGACGAGCAACATCCAATCACCTAACTGGCAGGCTTCAAGTACTTCTGGGTTCCCAAACGGGCTGAAGCATGGGTCAGTCACGCCGTTGACACAGACCGAGTGGAACGCCCTCAACTCTAGATTTCCCGCCTGAAGGAAAATGATGTAAAGCGAAGATAGCATGTGCATGTGAGCCATACAGTATGAATAATGAAAGAGCTGTTTTCCAAAGAAACCACTAGACTCAATATGATGGTGAACTGAGCATCTGTCCGCTAATTCAACAAGAGCAAAAGCTCCTAGGCCAAGATGCCTGTCATTCCTGTCGAGTAAGAAACGCCAGGCGTGCTCTGTGGATTACCGGGCCTTGAATAATGGGCAATGATCCGTAGATCTTGTGAGCCAATTTCAACGTGTGGGAGGCAGCCCATCTCCATGTCATTGGGTGCGGGCGCTGACATAGAACGTAGTTTTTGGTGCCGTTGATCTGCCGATTCCAGTATAGGCATTGCCGCCCCCTAGGTAAGGCCCCAGATACGACATAATCGGGCTTCTGTGTGGCGCACGTTCATTGTCGCCGGTGGCATACCTGGTACCCTTTGAAAGCCATGGCTAGATCTTAGTGCGGGATACTGCAGCCACAGTCAGACTGTTGGTGCTTACGTTGGGTCGTTACCCAGGTCAACTCCGAAACTAGGTATGATGCTGGCTTGCACTTCCGCACTCGCCCTTTTCAAAGTCATCTCTCAAACTATCGGATGGGAGAAGCTCTAAGATGTTCAGATGTATCAATTTTCATCGTGATAGCGTCAGCTTGAGCTGCTCAAATGCTTGCTACAATAGCCGTACTTAAACAGCAATGATTGATGATTTTGCCCAAGGCTGTCCCACTTGGATTCTGGCTGACCTTGCCACCGTTAGTAGCTCGAAAGAGACACTTGGTCGCCGCATGCTAATGAATGTGTCAAGCGAGCTCGGGCACATCGGAGTTGGCGCCACGAGCCGATAGTCCAGCCCCAACATCGACCCGGTGGACCGGGTATCCGCTCCGGTAGACGGCCCAGGAGAAGTAGATCGTTATGTAGTAGCCTTTGGAGCACCATTATCCTTTGACTCGAGGTTGAGCGCCCCTGCACATCAATCCGGGGCTAAGGTGTCTGCTTGGAAAGTTTGAGCTGGTCGAGTCTCATGGTTGGCTGGTTCCTGTGCAACTGAACTTTTGACAGCAATGCTAAGTGTCTAGCGGCTTCTCATATGCAAAATCTCGGATCAAGGTCGAGTTTTGCCCGTAAACATGACGCCTACCGATTCAGCTGCTCACCCCTGATGGTGCTGCGATCGCTCGTGGCGTTTCCGCATGCGGTGAGACATACGATGTTCCCACGCCACGGGCAGAAAACTCGCTGAACACGGTCAAGTGCCTGATGACAGCCCCAGCCTCATGTTGTTCCAGATTTTCTTCTGCCCTCTTCATATACACGTGGTCGCGTCCTCTCCATGTCGCCGTTCGCGCGGAGCACTTTCCTGGCTCCATCCTGCAGAAAGCACACAATTTCGTCGCAGCCTGGCCGCCATCAACATCATTCGTGCGCAGCTTGCTGCACGGGTTTCAAACCGGCTGCTTCCCTATCTCCGTCTTAAGCCTTTATTTGAAGGAGAGGGCTCAGGACGCATCATTATTTTCACCAGGTGATGGTGATTGGATACGACACATGGCCACGATGCATAACGAGTCGGAAATTACGTCTGGCGATGGGACCCCGCCGTACACGGACGCCAGCCGAGCGAGCTGGCTCATTGTTTCGACCGCGGTATGCTTGTCGGTCACTTTAATGTTCGTCCTACTGCGGGGCTACGTACGGGCAATAGTCATCAAGAGCTGGGGCGCCGACGATACCCTCGTTGTCATCTCATTTGTGAGTTTGGTCGATGGAACCGGAGTGAGCATGGCCTCTGATAGAATCCCAGATACTTGCCATCTTGACTGGTGTCATTTTCTCCATATGTAAGTTTTGTTGAGATCTCTGTGGACAGGTTCATTGCTGATATCCAATGCAAGGTACGACCAAAGGACTTGGGATGCACATCTGGACCATCCCGATCGATGTTCAACAAGAGGGCCGCAGGGTGAGATAATTGAAAGACGAGACTCAAAAGATTTTAACCCTAACATTCTGGGACAGATAACGATCGGGGCTACCTTGTGCTATAGCGCCACGTTCATTGCAGTCAAGATGGCAGTTTTGCTTCAATTTCGACGGGTTTTCGCGGTACCGAAGTTTCGACTCGTGTGCGACATCATGTTTGGGTTTATTTGCTGCTTTGGAATTGCTGTAGTTGTGTCGTCCATCGTCATGGCAGCTCCAACTTGGAGGGGTGACACCTTCCAGGCAGAGAGATATGACCAATGCGCTTGGTGGCTGGCGACATCCTCCGTACATCTGGCGACCGACATCATCATCTTTCTGATGCCGATTCCAATGTTGCACAGATTGAAGCTCAGAGCAATGCTCAAAGTCGCGTTGATGGTGAGCTTCGGGCTTGGATTCATGTGAGTGAAGCTGGCACCAGGTGTTTGCGACGGAGCTGATGCGAAACAGAACGACGGCGATCTCAATTGTGAGGATAGTGACGATCACGCATGTATTCACGGCGGATGTTACGTGGGATGTCATTCCAGCCCTGGTTTGGTCCCAGGTGGAGGTCTGCTGTGCCGTCATCTGCGTATGCATCCCAACTCTCCGCCCTCTACTACGCGTGATGGGTAGGAACACGGACAGCCAAAAGATCTTATACCAAAGCGGGAGCACTCGACTCACTCGGAGGCCACTGAAGGCGACAACAACAGTCTCAAGCGAACAAACGATTACGAGCCCAGACTATCTGGATGTGATGGAAGTTGAGCCAAGGTCTAGGGTGGTTGAACATTCACCAGGAGGTGGCCTTATGGTCCGAACGGCGATCAGCCCGGCGTTGACAGCAGGAGCAGAGTCGGATGATGGGTCTGACGGGTTTGGTGAGGCAGATGAAGAGGTCGGCACGCCACTAAGCCCGCCGCCAAAGTCCTACTCCAGTCCGACGAGGAATCGATTTTGACTGCCTGAAACTCCGGAGGATGAGGAAAGCGTCGGGTCTCGAGGATAAGAATGACATTGGATGTGGTGCAGGTTGCTTCTCAGCATGGCGTTTAGGGATACCAGGTAATCACAACACAGTAATTAAGAAAGGGTGTGATGTGGAAAGTCATCATACAAATCAATGCATAACACTTCATGGAAGTTTTGATGAGTTCGACGCGTGCGGGATGATGACTTCATGTCTTAGAGACGCGTCCTATGTCATCATTATCACCTTCGGCATACAGTGACACTTATCCGTCTCGAGGTGTTGAAAGCGGATATCTGGTTGTGAAACATATGATTCATTGACGACTGAAAGGATTGGAGCGCGACTTCGCCTCCTTGATGAAGGGCGAGGTGCAGAACAATGGCCCGACGCTCGCTGAAGAAAGAAGACGAGGAATGAGTGATTGCCGAGTCAGGAACGGTTGGTCACGGCGTTACCTGCATTTTCGGGGTCTTTGGGCCGCTAGGCCAAGTGGAGAATTTCACGTGCCGGACCTTTCCTCTTCCGGAAGGCGGTAGCCGCCTGATCCGGCAAAATGGGAAAGATGTCGCCCGCCGCACGTCCCCCGCCATCGCCGCCTCCGAGAGGACACCGAATGTCTTCCGTCTTATGCCTCCCCCGCCGCCGCCGAAAAAAGACACTACGTTCGACCCTTTTCCTTCCCCCCATATACCCGTAATAGCGACACGCATTCCTCTCGAGTATCGCCTGGAATCACCATGATTCACGCCCAAGGCCAGCACGCCGTCAGCGCTGCTCCCGCGGCCAACGGCTACCCCGCGAAACCCCACCTTTCCGAGTCGCCTCCCCGCTCCTTTCACGATGTCTGCGTCGAGCTCCGAGATAAGGTCGACGCTTTCCTGGCCGAAGACCCAAAGACAGATGTTTTGCGCAATGTACAGGAACAGCTCCGCGTATCAATGGGCGTGGTAGACGAGGCGTTAGCGACCTACAGGTGTGCAACCCCCACCACGTGTGCCTCGGCACAGACCGGGCAAGTTGCTGATGCGCCGACGTGTGATAGTTTGGAACAGATCTCGCTCTCCTACAACGGAGGCAAAGACTGTAAGTAACCATCTCAATACGACCGGCCCCTCGACTCAGATGCGCCGCAAAGTTTCCCGGTCGTAGGAAATCCTTTTCCGAATGCATGCTGACATGTCCATGATCCCAGGTCTCGTCCTCCTTATCATGCTCCTCGCCTGTCTTGCGCGTCGGTTTCCCTCTTCTAAGACCAACGTTTCGAATGGCTCAAATGGCGCTGCGGATGCCAAGTCCTTCCCCGACGAGTTTCAAGCCGTCTACATCGTTTCCAAGCACCCGTTCGCCGAGGTAGACGATTTTGTCGCCACGACGAGCTCAATATACCATTTGAATGTGAAGCGTTATGCAATGTCCATGAAGCAAGGACTGGAGGCTTATCTGGCAGACCGACCGAGCGTCAAGGCGATATTTGTTGGAACGAGGAGGACAGACCCGCACGGCGAGAAGCTGACACATTTCGACCCTACGGACTCGGGTTGGCCCGACTTCATGCGGGTGCACCCGGTGATTGATTGGCACTATGGTACGTTTGTTTACCCCCAGAATCCGGCTCTTCCGGATGTCGAACACCTAGGGCGCATCGGCAGCCCACTTGGAGAAACAAAGCTAACCCGGTACGCAGCCGAAATCTGGGCAGTAAGTTTCATCTCAAACTAAGTGGATATGACGGGCCGACAACTTCGCTATCCGCTCCTCGGCCAAACCGAACGGCCGCTAATGACTTTCATAGTTTATCCGTCATTTGGGGATTCCGTACTGTCCACTATATGACCAGGTACGTCCGAGACTCTAGCATGCCCTTGTTAGCATGCTTACAATATACCAGGGCTACACAAGTTTAGGCGGAACTCAAGATACCCATCCGAATCCTCAACTTAAGAAAGAAGGTCAGAATGGCGCGGGTTTCAGGCCTGCTTATGAGTTGACAGAAGACGACGAAGAAAGACTAGGCCGGGATAAATAATGAAGAATATAGCGTCATGTTCTTCCTGTAAGTTGCGGTCAAGAACATATATCTCAACACATATACCGCACAGCGACAATTTGTATAGACTTTTGAGCATAGATTTGCGGCGTTACCTCTAAATACTTCACTTCTCTCTGGGATTGAATCCCTGTAAACTACCCCGTTCAAGGTCAATGGTCACTCAACTGAGAGCTTGGCGTCAACACAATTGATGCGGGAGCTTTAAGGCGGGAGAAAATGTTTCCAACGGCTTCTCCGGTGACGTCAGCGAGCAGCAGTTTGTCGTGATCAGGTACCCTAAGGTTATTGGTTTGGTTGACGGGACCCGGCGTGCGCTGAATTTATTGATAGTGCCCAGAAGTGCGACGACTCAAAATCCTGGTGCCAGTCGGCGGGGGTCGAGTCATGGCCAGGCAATCGGTGAGATCAATATCTCGGCGAAGGATTTGGTCTTGGCACTACCGTACAGGAGGCGCAATCACGATAACATGCGACACGGCTCCCTGAAAGGCGACTTAATGCTCTGTTCAGGTTCGTACGCAATGGATCACTTGATTAGTGATGATGAAGACTTGCTTGTTCATTATATCGTATTAACCAAGCACGACGCTCGAATAGCTAACTCATAAGCATTGACGTGAGAGTTCTTCAACCGCCGCAAAGGCGGACCCAGATTCTAGATCCTCATTTCTCCTCCTTGTCGAGGCTCTTCTTCTCAATGGAGCTGGCGCTCTGGTAGTCCTCCTTGTACGTCATGAAGACCTCGTCGTTCATGTGACGGTGTCTAAACCAGAATACGACGGTTTGCACGGCAAGAGCGATTCCGGGAGCAGCCCAAGCCCACACCAAAGTCGGGTCAGCGATCGATGGAAGCAAGATCTGGCCCAGAGCACTGCTCAGCGCCGTCATGAATAGGAAGAGGGCGACGACCGTCGAACGCATGTGCTCGGGAGCACGGGCGTAGGCCAGCTCGTACGCGGTGACGTTGACGAAGATCTCAGACATGGCACCCAGGGCGACGTTGGGAATCTGCCACCAGATGGAAATGGGCGAGACGCCATCGCAGTCGCTGGCGTAGTAGCCGCTGCCAAGCCATATTAGCAAGGTGTTCAGTGAAGTGGGAAATATTTCAGAACTTACCAAGGGCTGGTCTCGTACACCTTCCATTGGACAATGGCACCGATGACGGACGAAATAGTAGCGAGGATAAAGCCGGTCGTCATGCGGCTGATGCGTCCGTACTTGATGCCCTTTCGCTTGAGGAAGGGGTAGACGACCTGCGCCATGAAAGGCGAGAAGACGATGATGACCAGGGGGTTGAAGTGACTAAGCAGATCGTTGGGCGCACCATCAGAGGTCATGGCAGCTCCCTGGTTGCTTTGAACGTTACCAACACCGCCATCGTTCAGATACCAAATAGGGATGTAGAGGAAAATCTGAACGGCTTCCCAGGTACGTCTCGCATCGTCGACGTCCTTCTCGGAATAGCTGACGCGGAGGCTGGTCTCAGAGTAGATGGTGCTGGGCTGGACTTTGTGCCAGAAGTTCTTGGCCAAAATGTTACCCTTACTGGCCTTCAGCGCGGCGACAGTGATCTTGACAAAGCGGTTCAGGTCTGAGCCCTGGGGCGGGAGCCTGACGGTGCGCTTGTACGTAGCAGCCAACAAGACCGGAAGCAGGAAGTAGACGATGCCTGGGATGAGGTACGCCAGCCAGAAGCTGTGGTACTTCTCGATGTAGACGACAGCGATCGAGAAGAATGCGCCGACGTTGATGAAGGCGTAGAAGATGAGCATAATGTGGCTGATGGTCGTCTCTGGATCAACGATAACCTTCTCACCGGACTTGAGAACCTTAGTGTACTCCTTCTGGTGCTTGTACTGGTCAATGACCGTTGGAGCCACGTTGGGCTTGAAGATACCAGCACCGATGGCGAGCTGCACACAGCCATTAGCTTCATGGACTGATGTCTTACAGGTTACAAAGTCCTTACCAGGAAGTAACTGATGAGAAAGGGAGCGACGCCCCTGCCAGCTTGCAAAACGGCTGGAGCGGCGCCTCCGACCATGATGACGTGTGCTACACCACCAATGAAGACACCCCATCCGATAGCCTGGTATCTACCGATCTTGACATCTGCGATCCAGGCGCCGAAGATGGGGATAACATAGGCCAGGAAGGTGAACAAGAGACCAAGCGCCGAGGCGGTACGCAGACCGAGACCGAGAGCACCGGCGTGAGAGTTGGGCTTGCTGGGGTCGATGGCACCCGTACCGGGTCCGCCCTCGGGGAGCGGGAACTGGAGGTAGTTGTTGAAGGCGGCCTTGACACCATAGAAGGAGGCTCGCTCAGCCATCTCAACAACACAGAGAGACCATGCTGTCAGAGGGATGGAGTCGTGGACCTTGCGCAGTGTCGAGCGCTCCTCCTCGGTCGGGAGTGGATAGGTCTCATAGTCGACAACGCTCGTTGCCTCGACAGAGTTGGTCTGGGCCTCCGGGTCGACTTTCTCTCGAGTCTTCTCGGAGTGAACGCCCTGGTCGGCGTCAGGTTCGACAACCTTCTGGACGTTGAGGCCAACCACGTTCTCAGCTGTGGACTGCAGTGTCAGTGGGAAGCTGGACGACAGACGAATAACATCCTGGCTTACACATGGTGTCAGACTTTCTATCTTGAGATTGTCAGTGAAGATAGCGAGAAAGAGCAAAAGTGAGTGAAGCGCACATCCAAGTCTCCGGGACTGCCTTTCAACCCCCTATATACAACAACCAACATTGCGCCAGCCGAGGTGCAGTGCAAGGCAGCCCCAGCCAGCGGCCTGGCCTGATCAACCCAGCATTGCCCAAATTCATCAACGGCAACGTTGCTCCCCCACGGAATCGATAACAACCCCGGACGACTCGAGACGAACACCGCGTACGATGCATCTCCTTTGGGAAGGGCTCCCTGGCTCGAGCGG